CCTGTTCTCGAATCAACAATTGAATTTCAATTTTGATACTGCAGCCTCTCTCCTCTCTCTTCTGTACTCAGATGTCAAGAGTTACAGGGCAGCGCTGTACGCTTTTAAGACGAACATTATGAATGCCATCCCTACGCTTTTAGACAAGAGACTCACGATGTCATTGGTCCCCAGAGACTCTCTGATAGCAATCCTGAATTCAGTTTACGACAGCCAAAAAGACGCAACGGACAGACTGACTCTAGCCATCCCAACAACCGAGCTTCACTCGTACTATGACGCAAAACTGCTTCGAGATGTTGTAACAGTTGATGAAGGCCTGCTAATGACACTAGCGATACCGATGTCGTCCAGTCTAACTGTCTTTTCGGTTTATCGAGCTCATTTAATCCCGATGCCACAGCCGGGACAGAAGGATGCAATCAGATGGAAGACCGAGGGAGACTACTTCGCAGTCTCTGAGAACGGAATGGAAACCTCAGTGCTCACACGAGAAATGCCTCGGTTCATCAAGGTATAGGATCTGTCATCAAACCATGCAGACACAGATGAGCAGATCCTCTTGTCTATCTAACTTATTCTGGCCAAACCCTGTAGCAGCCTTGACGGTCTGTGAGACGGAAAAAGTCATTCTGCCTACGCCGGAACGAGCCACGAATTTGGGATACGGTATCTGGCTAATCACATCAGCCTCTTCGTCAATCTCTTTGTGGGAGTACAACCTGCATGAGGTTCATACTCCATCCCGCAGAGAGCATTCAGGATGCAACATTTGCATCATTACTTTGGATTGCAGGACGCAATTAACAACTAGAAATATCAAGATCAGACCAGATCTGGAAAGTTGTGACAAAATTCCAGCAAGACGAATCAATGTCACACTGTCTGATCCATTGGAACACCTACTCTCTACAATTCCGGAAATTAATGAGTTACCATACTTCGAATCAAAAACGGACGCCGGAATTAGACTTTTGGAACAAGTGAAAATAAAACTTATTGACAGCCCAATAGTCACGAACATGGAACAATTGGACGAGATCTCAAAACCAATCGCCGACGGAATGAAACTTTTGAAACCAACCTTAACAGAGAAACTCGAAAGCTATGTACCAATAAAACTTTCACTGACACTGACCGTCATACTTTTCATCGGAAGCACACTACTCCAGTGTTTGTGCACTTATCTTTTTCATCGATTCAAAGCAGTTCGAGACATAACCCCACAATTTCTAAAGACCGCTTATGGAGATATACGAATAAAGCCAGTAGTCGCAATGGACATTGATGAACGCGACAGAGATGAAAAAACAGCTAGACTTATGGAAACACGAGCGGAATGGCAGAATAAATACACGATTCTAGACGTAATTGACGACACGATTGCAGTACCACAACATCACAGACAGATGGAGGATGCAGTACTAAACGACGAGACACTATCAATGCAGGGAAGCAGAATAGACATGAATAGAACGAGATCAATGGGCGAAATCTCAACGACATCACACCAAGGAAAGACTTCACGAAACTACAGCGGAGGAATGAAACTGACTCCTAATACAGGAATCTTAGGTGTGAAACCTCCTTCTATCCAAATAGGAGCTCAATACAACGAGGAGACGACCTGAAGTATAGGAAGACTGAGATGCGAATAAGTTGCCATTTCATCTTTCATTACTGACACTGATTATATCATTTAATTGACCATGACGTTCCCAAACATTGATTCTATGACTCAAGTGGTGGCTTAATTGTAACCTGAATCTCATAAGTGCTAGCAGCACTATTTATTTTCCCTGAACTCAAGTTCTAATTTAAACTTACCTGTTTAACCTTAATTTTATACATTTGTAAAGTTAAAATTTCTTTAATACACAATTCGTGTATGTAAATTTGATAACAGAACCAATCCATTTGAGTGTATATAGTTTAAAACCTTTATTTTATGCACATTTGGTGTACATCAACCAGCTTTAACCCTGTGCCTAACCTAATTTAAAGCCGGTTTAGTTTGTTATTTACCCATTTATAAAAGTAAATTTATAGAAAATTTATTGAGTTAAATTGTTTTAAAATTATTGAAATTGAATCATACCGTATAACTTTTAATTCGTTCCTAAAATTTATTATGCTTTTAACATTGCAGTTTCCCTTTGAAATGCAACTAAATGAAATTACTACAGTTTGAAGTTAGAAACTCACCAAATTTTATGTAGATACTGTATTTAAATTGTAACCCCGATGCTAATAACAGTCGCCAGGAAATAATTCGACAGTGTAAGTGTAGCGTACCCATAAATGGCACGCTATTGATAGCCATGAAATAAGTGCTATATTAGAAATTGATGTCATAAATTATTAATGTTAAAATCCCAAGCATGCAGTTGAACAAGTTAGTGTTTATTAAAAGTAAATAGTGAGTTATTAGTTGGGACATAATATTGAATATCGAGCTAGCTGAAAGTAATAAAGTTTACTAACCAAAGTTAAATTCAAACAGCTGAGAAAGTGATAGAGATAGAATCCATGCTGTCGGGGCCCATGCGTCCGTATTGAGATACTGCTAAATCAACTCCAGTTAATAACATGCAATAACATCTAGAAACCATGCGGGTTAATTAATAAAAGCAGTGCATTACAAAGCTTGCGACTATAAATCCCAGAGAGTCGATTCCAGTTGGGATCTTTTTTTGTTGTGGAAACTGAACTTTTCGATTAGACTTTCGGGTCTGCTTATTTTTGTTGGCTTAGGTTCTGCAGAAAGGCTCGGTTTCTTTTAAGCATTTAAAAAACTTTTTGTAAAGGTTGTAATGGTGCAGGTAATTTTATTCCTATAATTTTTTTTAATTTTGCAATTTTGTGACAAAAGATGTTTTGAAGGTTTTTTTTTCAAAATTGATTTGTCTTTTCATTTTCTGTCAACCGTAGTCATTTTTTTACTGCGCTGCGTGTGTCTGCTCTGGAACTATCGGCTTTGTTACCGCTTTTTGATAAGGTAACATGCTTTTTTAACATTCAATCGTCTTTCTTGGCATATTTTCTGAAAAAAAAAATTTATTTAAGGCAAAATCAATACAATGATAGAATTTTTTTTTCTAATTTCGTTTTCTACGGTTCTTATTTCTGCTTCCTGTCGGCTAGTGTGTCATTTTATGTATGTTTTGAATTGCAAAGGATGCGAAGCTTCGCTTTGCCTCGTGGTATTATTTTTTGATTCTTTTTTAAAATTTAATTTCCGATATTGTGCCGTCCTAGTTTTTGCTGTTTTGAAAAATTTCTTTGTTTACAATAGATTCAAAACTGATTTATAAGTTGTATACCCGATTTGTAGGTTTTAAAAAAATGACTGCTGATATTGAAGTTGTTTTCAAATGTCTGTCTGCATAGAATAAAGCCACCGACGGCTTAAAATAGCTTATTTTAATGGCTTAAAAGCTTAGGATAGAGCAATTTAGAACTTTGTAACATAATTTTCTTCAAGTTATGTGTTTTTTAGAATTTTAAGTGTTTTTTTTTTGAAATCAAAAACTTCAAAAAATTATAAATCTGAAAATGGAAAGTTTTAATTTTTATTTTCGTTTTTCTGGTAATTTTTCTTTAATAATGGTTTTTCAATTTCCTCACTGTACCATGACGAAAATGCTTAATCTCTAATTTTTCGTTCAGATCCTTTTCTCACACCACAAAGAAGAAAAACTACGCTAATTTGAAAAAGATTTTTTTTGTGTGTTTTTTTAAGACGATGGCCGTAACCTTCTGTGCTACTTGCACTGTAATAGGCTATCGTTGTTGACGTAGTACTTGAAAAACCATATGCATGGTTTTTCAAGTACTACAACTGGGCAATGATTTTTCAGTGTCAATGAGCGAAGTAAAGAGTCTTATATAGGTCTTGATGTTTTTTTTCAGGCCCACTTGATTTTTGGCGGCTAAACTTTTGATGTTATTTTCTCAAAAGGAGTACAAAATGCACCGTCGAACAGCAAAAGTTCAAAGCTTGCGATAAACCTGATCGACTTCTAATTTCGAAAGTGAATTCTTTTTTTTTCAGATTCCACAGCGGATTAAAAATATTACCTTTTGATTCAGTTTTCTCAAATTTTTAAGAGTGATGACTCTTAGATAGGTATTGGTGATTTTTTCTATTTTTTTTCAGGAAAAAGCCTTAAAATGATCGAATAACTACAGATGTGTATTCATAAATATTGATGCATTTATAAGTGCACTTATGTATATATGCATTTTTTGAGTTCACATGAAATGCATCTGCTCAAAGTGACGTAAATAGCGCTCACCAAATATGAACGCGGAAATGGCGATCTCTAGTGAACGATTTCTAGTTTCGAATTTAATTGTTAGATTTCCAGCGGAATAAAAACTTTATCTGTTGATCTAGTTTTCTTAAATTGGGTTAATTTAATCGAAAAAATGTCAATCATAAATCGTTCTAGAAATCCAAAGGCCATTTATTTTCTTTGAAATAGGTATCTGAGGTTTTCTGAGAGTAATGAACGTAGTGAAGACTCTTATATAGGTCTTGTTGATTTTTTTTTAAAAAAGTCTGAAAATATTAATGCACTTGGTGTAATGCTTTTTTTGAGTTCAATTGAAATTGATTTGCTCAAAGGGGTGTAAATAGCGCTCTCCAAATAAGAACGTGGAAATGGCGCGAGATAACGTGAACGATTTCTAGTTTCGAAAGTGGAATGTATTTTTAAGATTTCCCAGCGGAATAAAAATTTTACCTGTCGATCCAGATTTCTATAGTTGGGTTCATGTGATCAAAAAAGCGCCAATCATAAATTGTTCCAGAAATTCAAAGAGCTTCAAGGGAAATTGGAAAGTTGAGAAAGTCAGTGTTTTTTTTTATTTGCGTTCATTACTTTTTTCCAATCTTCAATTGGCTATGTTTTAAAAAACAATTCAGTGAGTTTTTTTTCCTGTTTACTCTTTTCCAACTGTCTGTTTGTCATGTTCGAAAATGTTTTTTTTTGTAGAATTTTGGGCTGTCCGGCTACTTTGCATCTTCTGAACGTGGAGAACAGTAAAGTGCTCATCGGACCATGTTCTTCATCCGTCTTCCTGGAACAGTGTTCGAACTCCACAATTGTTTTAGCATGTCAGCAACTGAGGTGTCACACCTCAAAAAACTGCTATCTCTTCGTTCACATTACATCCCGAGGAATCATCGAAGATAGTACTGGATTGAAAATTGGACCATACAGCCTGTCTTATCCGAAGTTAGATGACCATTTCAAAGCTGCTAATTTACCACGTGAGAGAAACAATTGGCAGAAAATAGACGACTTCAACTGGCTGAGCAAGACAGAAAAGTCTCCGAACTACAGTTATATTCCAGAGAATGAGATGCAGTCATTTTTGCTTGGATAAAAAGGCCTTTTCAATAAATTTAATTCTTGCTAGAAGACCTGATTAGCAATGTGGTTCTTAAAGCAGCTATGTAAATAGTGTAAAAACTAAAATACTATGCAACTAAAAGTAACTCAAGTTTATTTTTTGAAGAGGCTTCAAGTTTTCGCTATATAGAATCAGTTGCGTAAGCATTATGTAGAATTTGTTCAATAGTGAACACGTTTAGAGGTCGCAGATTTCCCTGAGTGAATAAGTCCAGGGTTGCCTTCTGCGCAATGTGTGGAATATCATCTTTCTTGATCCCAACATCGCTTAGGCTTTGGGGCATCATCAGGTCTCTAATAAACTGAAATAGAGCCTTATGCGGTGGCTCAGTCTCTCCAAATGCTTCGACCAAGTGACTCTGCATCGCCGAGTTCATGTGGTCCCAGTTGTATTTCACGACATGAGGTGCCATGATGCATGATGTGTATCCATGCGAGACGCCATAGGTTCCCAAAATGTGACCGATTCCATGACTGCCGCCCATAGGAATGTCTTGTGTGAGTCCTGTTGATGAGAGCCACGCCCCCAGCAGACAGTTCTTTCTGGCTGATAGTCCTGTACTGTCGACATTTTTGGAGGGCTTCAAGTTTTCTATCAGTAATTTGAGACCCTAAAATCTTGAACTAGATTTTTTGCCAGTTTGATTAAGTATGAGAAATTTTGATTGATTTGAACAATGAAAAATAATGTTTCTGATTTTGAATTTAGCTGTAAATATTAAAGTTGAAGGAACTTCCGAAGATTTGATGCCAGCTTAGATGGGGTTAAACAAAAAAATCAATTCTTGATAGTTATAACCTTATATTCAAAATTTTATTTTGAAATCATTGCGCTTAGTTTATAAGACTGATTGCTTTTCTGCAAATTAGGAAAATGTTCTGCAAAATGTGTGCATGAGAGAAGTCTCCTTGAGTTCTAACTGCTGTTGTGTAATATAATTTTTATTACGGATTGCGACTATTAAAAGTTTTTTTTTTTTGAAGCTAACGACGCCTTTGTCGTCGGTAAACATTAAAAAATAGAGAAAACTATTGTTCCATGAAGCTAGAACGAATCGAAGCGGGATTATAAGTTTTGAACAAAAAGATCTTGTCAATAACTCCGCTCTGGCAGTCTTGTTCAAGTCCCGATGAGAACAGAATCCAAATTAACTGATTTTGCCAAATATAACTTAATTTTTTAGATGGATTGGGTCGGGACAAGTGTGAAAATAAGGTTTTCGAATCATTGGCATCAGAACGCGAAACTAATAAAAGGGTTGGAAGCCTGTAGTCTGAACCTAGAGACCCACAAGCATACTGACCACTTTGGTCACTCATGAGTAACCAGTCAATTTTGGTTACATTTTGGTCACTCTTTGTCTCAAAGTCACCTTTCCAAAATGTTAACCTACGGAATTACCCCGTGGGTCATGAACCAACTCAGAAATCAGCTTATTATGAAACGCAATGCCCTGCATCGCTGCATCTAGACGAGGCAACTTATAATGGGAAAATTCGCATTGAATTCTGGATATCCTATGTTGTTTTCGGCAAGAAGTTACCTTTGTCATCTAAAACTTTTTTAGTTTGATTACAGCTAAATTAGGTTTTTTTACCCCCTTGAATGTTTTTTTTTGTTTGAGTGTTGGAGAGCGAAGGTCACTTTTGGTCACTTTTTTATGTTGTTTTGGTCACTTTTTACTCTTTCCCCATGTGATCAGTCTGCCCACAAGCGTTTTAGGTGCGTTCATCAGTCAAGCAAGTTCAATTAGTCAAGAGGGGAGGGGGGCAAGGAGGTTTTCTATATTGAAATATTTTTTTTCAGACAATCAAAATAAACAAACATTGAAAAGTGAGATAAATATTCTTCTAAGATGATCAAGATTGCGTTCTCAAAAAATGTATGTTAATTTTTCTTCGTAAGTAGAAAATCTGCTCTGAAAGTTTTCTTTTCTGACCTGCTGTACACGCAAATTGAGTACATCTGATAGCGTTTCAGATGCGACTTGAAAAGTTCGATCAGCGCTGTCGAGTCGTATGAATTTTTGAAAATTTTATTTAACAACTAATAATTTTTAAACTTAGCAAAACAGAAAAGTGGAAAAGGTTGAGGACAAGCATCTTAATTGTTTCACCTGCTTGCATGCGGTGTCGGCCAGCATGTTGGTCATAGGTGAACAAATAGTCTCGATGCTGTGGTCTATGGCCCTCACTCCCGAGGAGATCCATAGCTGTTCAGGAGTATGTACTGTCGTGTTGGGATCCAAAATCACCACATCTGGAACCAAGTTGTCATGCAGATATCTAAATGGATAATAAATGAACGATTCTCCAGCGTAATCAATTTTTCATGCTAGTAATTGAGCTAACTCCACTTTTTTCATTAATTACTCTTGCAATAAGCAAGGGTATTGCAATCGGGTACTAGACTTTTCCCCGTAAACAACTTTGTCCACAGGATCACTTCGAACAGTTCTAGAGGATCTTTCCTCTTTTAGAGGATATTCTTTTGTAGAAAATCTTCTGACAAGCTCAATTTCTTGAAAATTCAAATTAAAGTATTTCAAGCCCGTTTCAGGTGCTAAATATCTTTTCCAGAATATTTTTTCGAGTTTGCTGTTTTCTTCCTAGTTTCGGTCGGTTCAATTTCTGTTTTTTTAAAGAGTAATGAACGTAGTGAGTACTCTTACATAGGTCTTGCTGATTTTTTTTTGTTTTTCAGGAAAATATCTTAAAATTTGTTCACGCTCAATTTTGATTTTTGGCGGTTTGGTTTGTGATTTCTTTTCGAGTTCAGTTCATTTCCAATTGGTAAAAGGAATGCAAACTCCATTATCGAACAGCAAAAGTGTAAAGGTCACGAGAAACGTGATCAACTTCTAATTTCGAAAATGGAAATTAATTATCAGATTTCCCAGCGAAATAAAAGTTTTGCCTATTGATCCAGTTTTCTCAAATTGGCTTAGTTTTTACAAAAAATTGTCCATCATAAATTATTCTACAATTTCAAAGAAATTTAAGGCGATCTATTTTTTCTTCAGAATACAAGTTGAAAGTTTTTGAAAAAACAAGTCAGTTTTTTTTTCAGTTTCCTTGTGTTCATTACTCTTTTCCAACTGTCAGTTGGCTTTGTTTTATGTAAATTCAATCAACCATCCAGTGGTATCTGGTGTAGATAGCACAATTGATCGAGTCGGCAAAGGCTTATGCTTCGAGCCAGGCTGGGATCTATTTTTTGGCAAACTTGAGTTTTGTTCTTTTTCGGACTATCGTCCGTCTGTTTATTTTTGTCGGCTTAGTTCCCGTAGCACGATTTTTCCTTCAGCTTTCTTCAAAACTTTCAGCTTTCTTAAAAAAATGTTGTAACGCCCATGTTTGACGACAAAGCCCGGGAGTTTGATTTCAGTAGGGACTTGTTTTTTCTTTGCAAACTGAAATTTTTCGGTTAATTTTGGTTTTTGCCGTCTTAGTTCTCGCAGAAAATATTTTTTATCAAAATATGGCTTTTTTCTAGTCTTCTGAAAGCTCCTGATAGTGTCTAATGTTGCAAGTATTTTTGTTACGGTTATTTTCGCTTTTGTTGCAATTTTTCTAAATTTTCATGACAAAAACGTTTTTTTTTTTCAATTTTGATTTTCCTAATTGATTTTAAGCACAGTGATTCATTTTTGTATCGCAAGTGGTGCGAAGCTCAGCTTCGCGCCTGTGTTTAATTTCGGAAAGGAAAATTGATTCAACCCACGGATTTTTTCAGACTTACTCAAAGTCTACAAATTTGTCAGTGTTCGTTGTTCTCTATAACCCAAGTATGTTAATGTAAAAAGTTCAGCGGGATGGAAGTGAGACTTGAAAAAGGTAACACCAGTTTGCCACTCTCGGCGATAGTTTTGAACATGTTTGCTGATAATTTTGTACAGAATAGTTTTATACCGATTTTGGAATTTCTTACAGATCTAAAAAAATGCGGTTATCTGTAATGATGGTTGCTAGTTCTTCGGCTGTAGTGAAAATTTTTGCTCCTTGCTCTAAGATATCAATAGATGTGCAGCATATGTAGTTTTTATTTCAAACTAATCTGGAGTTAACGTCGTGATGAAAAATGTTGGACAAAATAATATTCAAATTATCAATAATTTTTGAACAAAACTATTCAGTTTTGTATCTGAAGTATGAAAACTGTGAACAAAAGATTGAAAGAGATTTACTCGAAAACTAGCATCGCCAATTATTTCACTCTCGAACTTAGATTAATCTTTTTTGCTCACCCAAATTTAGCTCCAGTTTCCGTGTCTTTCAAGCCAGTTACTAAACTGTACGCTGCCGCCGATAATGTCGTCGGTATATTAATCACGGTCAAATCTGACTTGAAATCAATCGGAAGTGGATTGTAAATTTGCGACGCTCGTTGGAACTGCCGAAATCCAGATGCATCTTGAATGTTGTAGGTCAGACAGATTCGAATGGCCTTCGAAGCATCCGTTACTGCGCCTTCTCCAAGAGTAACTACGCAATCTGCTCCTGAATCTCTCACTAAATTTGCTGCACGAATGCATGAACTATCAGAAGTATGCTGTTCAATTCCAGTAAGCAAGCCTGAGAGTTGTTGCTGTTCTTCGAGCTTCTGTACCAGTTTGGAAACGATATCAGATTCTTTGTCCAGGCTTTTGGAAGCTAGAACGAAGACACGTTTACCTTCCGTTTCGTCCAGAGTGGAGTCAATATAGTTAGTGTCGTACACTACTTTTCGACACGTTGTCATAGAGTTAGCTGTTCTGGGCGTCGCTGCCATGTTTCAACTTGAGTTGGATAGAATTGACTGTTTACTTGATTCAGTTTAAGGTTGTTCCACTGATGCGCATATTTACAGAGTAATCGTTGGTTTAGATTCAGGGAGTTACTCTCACTTTTTCTATGTTGAATTGATTTACCTAATTGCTTACTAAGGTAATTGATTGGAAATTTTGAATTGCTCAATTGTCATGGTAGAATAATTTTTTGAAATTTCTTGCGGTGAACCGTGAAACGGGAAATATAGGTCTTCTGTCATTTTTACTATTGATGTACTGAATCAGGTGATCTGGCCCAAAACTTTATCCGGAAACCCGAATATAAATTATCGAATCTTCGGGTAAGAGAAAGCTACTAACGGACTGTTTCAGTAAGGATATACGAAGAATTAGTATCTAAGAAGTATCTAAGTGCTGAAGATTTTTTGGTCCGTATCTGGTTAAGTATCCCCTTATCTATCTTGCAAGGGGCTGAGTATTCGTTACAAGGTACAAAATTTGTACATGCTTAACTATTCAATTCTTTTTTAATGAGCGAATTTGCTTCAAGGTACAAAGTCCATATATAGTTGTGTTCAACTTTTTCTCAATCGGAGGGGGAGTTTTTTTGCTTTAATTTACATTTTTCTATAAAAATTGCCGTCCAATTTGCCCATTTTACTATGACTATCAAATATCCCTAAGTTATAGTTTTCGTGTAGATCCTTTTGTTACACCACGCGGAAAAACGACACTCCTTAAAAACGACACTCCTGTTTGAAAAACGACACTCCTGTTAAAAACCTTTTTGAAATTTTTGGTCTAATTTCAAGCTAATAAGGTGTGGCTAAGCAGGCTTACAAAAGCATTTTTATGCTTAATTTAAGCCGTGAAAACGTTTTTCGTTTCTCTAGTCTTTTTTTTTTCTAAGAAAACTTGTTTTCCAATTGGCCTTTTTTACTATGAATGTCCAATATGCCTAAGTTTTGTTTTCGTTCAGATCTTTTTATAGCAGTGCACAAAAAACGAGTGTAATTTGAAAAAGATTTTTTAAGACTTTGGTCGAAACATTCTGTGCCTAGTCCAAAGAAAGCTCGTGCGATTCTACTGTCAAAGCCCATTCAGTCGTAAATCATATTTCAAAAAAATGATCGGGTGTTCAGAAAAACTCGGGCAAATATAACCGTTTTTCATACTGGGTTTTGATTGGCAACTAAACAGGAAGGCGTTTTACAATATCTGTTTAACAAAGTTGTTATGATTAGGATTGCGATAAGGAAGGGTGGCAACCGGGTACTAGACTTATTTCTCAAATACAACTGCTCGCAAGATTTTGAACGTGAAATTCACGCGTGTTTCAACGCATTAAATTCAAAATCAATCAGCTATCCAGCGTAGCTGGCGTAGAGATAACACACCTATGTGAGATGAAAAAGGCTTGTTATTCGAATCTGTTCGGGACCAGTTTTTTTGCAAAGTAGAAGAGTTCATTTTCGTAGCCCCATTGGTAGAGGAAATTGATTTGCGATATGGTTTGCGGAGGTTCAGTTTTTTTTTGAAAAGTTTCTAATTAAATATTTGTGTAATTAGCATTTTTGGAATTTTTCGCTCCGATCGGTTAATTTACAGAATTATTACGCATATGATTATTCTGCTCGCAATTAGCAGGCGTTATTTATTTGGAACGAATACTTGTAAATAACCTGTCGTGTAAACAAATTGTCCTGTGAACAGCTTGTCTAAGAAAATAACTGTGTCATTCTCCCAAAACTGCAATTTTGTCAGCCCACAAACTTATTTTGATTATATCTCCATTTAAATAACCTGTTTTTTTAATCAATATTTGATTTTTACGTTTTTTTTAATATTACAAACTCCTGTTTGGTATAGTTTTCGCTTTTTCCATTTTATTTCTTGTTAATTTGCTTATAATTTTATCGGTTTATGCCTAAGCGGCTTTGTGGCATCATATTACGTCGTTAGATGAGTGAAACGAGTTTCCTATGCGTATCAGTCTTGAGGGGATAATTTCCTATTTATTAAAAACTTTCCATAATTTTTTATGAAAATATTTTTTTTGCTCAACGGATTTCTAATAAAAAAATGTCGGCTTTGTTACCGATTTGTTGCCTTTAGTTCGATGCAGATTTTAATTTCACTTGTCTTGTTTGTCATGTTTTTAAGTGAATTTTACTCATGGAAAATATGAAATTTAAGGAAGATCTAGTTTTTCTCGACATTTTCAGAAACTTTTTTTTCTAATTAGTGATGTTCGTCACAATTTCTGTCTGCCATTTTGTCATGCAATGTTTGTGTTGCATCGCAAGTGGTCCAAAGTTCTGCTTTGCCTCTGTTTTAATTTAGCCTCCGCTTGATTTCATTCCTTGTTCCCAGAAACAAAAACAGAAACAACCGAATTAGGTAATCAAGTGTATGAAAGATTGTGCTTCATGCAAGGAGTCTGTTGTCCTGATTTGCATTTGACCTCATTTTCAGATTCAGATTGACTAACAATTAGAGATATTTTTTATTTCGTGCGGATGATTAAACTATAGTAATTGGTTAGCTATTTTCATATGTAACATCCAAGAACGAACAGAAATTAGTTTTAGTTTAATTAACATTCCAACGACAAGTTATTATGTACTCTACGAACAGTGAATTGATAGAGGATCTTGATGCTGTGAAGAGAAATCTATTCTCATTTCTGAAGGGGGAGACTGATTTGGAGCGTGAACTGGAAAACTTCGGAAGTCTCCTATGGCCTGCGTACTGTTCGTTAGTTGAGAAAGAACACCTGGAGACGAACTCGACCAGGTTCTACTTGGTGTATGGATACGCCTGTCTAGTGACTAACAAGGCAGTTCTGTCCTTCAGCATCACAGACATAGACAGTGCTGTGCATTACGTGAACCAGACCAGAGCTAGTGCGTACAAGTAAGTTGACTTAAAATAGTGTGGACAAACCCAACAAATGCGATAAGTCCACAATTCGTGATGAACTTTTAACATCTTATTTGAGCATCAGTACACATGCGAGCTTTTAAGTGTAGTGTTATACAGTCAGACAATTTTTTTTACAAAGCAAGTTTATCGAATTAAGAGTTTTTGAGGGATATTTAATACCAAAATCACTGAATCTTTTGCTTGGAATACTTCATTGAGTTATCATTTATCAAGTTCGTGGTATCAATAATGTTCCTTAAACGTCGAGGTACTGTTCATACTATGGACGGAAAACTTCTTAGGTTCGAATCCTTACAGGTTTTTTTTCCTGCGAACAAGTTTTCTGCTGCAGAAAGTGTTTCATTGACTATTGTTTGTCTGCATATTTTTTGTAGGATCACTCGACATAGCCCGGAATTAGCTTATGATTTAAACTTTTTTCTCACTATCACTGGAAACTTTTTCATTTAATTTTTGTCCTGGTGCAATGCAAACTATTGCGTTACAAGAAAGCGTTATAGAGGTGAACATTGGAACCTTGTTCAGGTTTTTTTTCCTGCGAACAAATTTTCTGCTGAAGAAAGTGTTTGATTGACTTTTGTTTGTCTGCATATTTTTTGTAGGATTAGTCGACATAGCCCGGAATTTGCTTATGATTTAAACTTGTTTTCTCACTATCACTGGAACCTTTTTCATTTCATTTTTGTCCTGGTGCAATGCAAACTATTGCGTTACAAGAAAGCGTTGTAGAGGTGAACATTGGAACCTTGTTCAGGTTTTTTTTCGTGCGAACAAATTTTCTGCTGAAGAAAGTGTTTGATTGACTTTTGTTTGTCTGCATATTTTTTGTAGGATTAGTCGAGATAGCCCGGAATTTGCTTATGATTTAAACTTTTTTTCTCACTATCACTGGAACCTTTTTCATTTCATTTTTGTCCTGGTGCAATGCAAACTATTGCGTTACAAGAAAGCGTTATAGAGGTGAACGTTGGAACCTTGTTCAGGTTTTTTTTCCTGCGAACAAATTTTCTGCTGAAGAAAGTGTTTGATTGACTTTTGTTTGTCTGCATATTTTTTTGTAGGATTAGTCGACATAGCCTGGAATTTGCTTATGATTTAAACTTTTTTTCTCACTATCACTGGAACCTTTTTCATTTCATTTTTGTCCTGTTGCAATGCAAACTATTGCGTTACAAGAAAGCGTTATAGAGGTGAGCATTGGAACCTTGTTCAGGTTTTTTTTCCTGCGAACAAGTTTTCTGCTGCAGAAAGTGTTTCATTGACTATTGTTTGTCTGCATATTTTTTGTAGGATCAGTCGACATAGCCCGGAATTTGCTTATGATTTAAACTTTTTTTCTCACTATCACTGGAACCTTTTTCATTTCATTTTTGTCCTGGTGCAATGCAAACTATTGCGTTACAAGACAGCGTTATAGAGGTGAACATTGGAACCTTGTTCAGATTTTTTTTCCTGCGAACAAATTTTCTGAAGAAAGTGTTTGATTGACTTTTGTTTGTCTGCATATTTTTTGTAGGATTAGTCGACATAGCCTGGAATTTGCTTATGATTTAAACTTTTTTTCTCACTATCACTGGAACCTTTTTCATTTCATTTTTGTCCTGGTGCAATGCAAACTATTGCGTTACAAGAAAGCGTTTTAGAGGTGAACATTGGAACCTTGTTCAGGTTTTTTTTCCTGCGAACAAGTTTTCTGCTGCAGAAAGTGTTTCATTGACTATTGTTTGTCTGCATATTTTTTGTAGGATCAGTCGACATAGCCCGGAATTTGCTTATGATTTAAACTTTTTTTTCTCACTATCACTGGAACCTTTTTCATTTCATTTTTGTCCTGGTGCAATGCAGACTATTGCGTTACAAGAAAGCGTTATAGAGGTGAACATTGGAACCTTGTTCAGGTTTTTTTTCCTGCGAACAAATTTTGTGCTGAAGAAAGTGTTTGATTGACTTTTGTTTGTCTGCATATTTTTTGTAGGATTAGTCGACATAGCCCGGAATTTGCTTATAGTTTGAACTTTTTTTCTCACTATCACTGGAACCTTTTTCATTTCATTTTTGTCCTAGTGCAATGCAAACTATTGCGTTACAAGAAAGCGTTATAGAGGTGAACATTGGAACCTTGTTCAGGTTTTTTTTCCTGCGAACAAATTTTCTGCTGAAGAAAGTGTTTGATTGACTTTTGTTTGTCTGCATATTTTTTGTAGGATTAGTCGACATAGCCTGGAATTTGTTTATGATTTAAGCTTTTTTTTCTCACTATCACTGGAACTTTTTTCATTTCATTTTTGTCCTGGTGCAATGCAAACTATTGCGTTTCAAGAAAGCGTTATAGAGGTGAACATTGGAACCTTGTTCAGGTTTTTTTTCCTGCGAACAAGTTTTCTGCTGCAGAAAGTGTTTCATTGACTATTGTTTGTCTGCATATTTTTTGTAGGATCAGTCGACATAGCCCGGAATTTGCTTATGATTTAAACTTTTTTTCTCACTATCACTGGAACCTTTTTCATTTCATTTTTGTCCTGGTGCAATGCAAACTATTGCGTTACAAGAAAGCGTTATAGAGGTGAACATTGGAACCTTGTTCAGGTTTTTTTTCCTGCGAACAAATTTTGTGCTGAAGAAAGTGTTTGATTGACTTTTGTTTGTCTTCATATTTTTTGTAGGATTAGTCGACATAGCCCGGAATTTGCTTATGATTTAAACTTTTTTTTCTCACTATCACTGGAACCTTTTTCATTTCATTTTTGTCCTGGTGCAATGCAAACTATTGCGTTACAAGAAAGCGTTATAGAGGTGAACATTGGAACCTTGTTCAGGTTTTTTTTCCTGCGAACAAATTTTCTGCTGAAGAAAGTGTTTGATTGACTTTTGTTTGTCTGCATATTTTCTGTAGGATTAGTCGACATAGCCTGGAATTTGCTTATGATTTAAGCTTTTTTTTCTCACTATCACTGGAACTTTTTTCATTTCATTTTTGTCCTGGTGCAATGCAAACTATTGCGTTTCAAGAAAGCGTTATAGAGGTGAACATTGGAACCTTGTTCAGGTTTTTTTTCCTGCGAACAAGTTTTCTGCTGCAGAAAGTGTTTCATTGACTATTGTTTGTCTGCATATTTTTTGTAGGATCAGTCGACATAGCCCGGAATTTGCTTATGATTTAAACTTTTTTTCTCACTATCACTGGAACCTTTTTCATTTCATTTTTGTCCTGGTGCAATGCAAACTATTGCGTTACAAGAAAGCGTTATAGAGGTGAACATTGGAACCTTGTTCAGGTTTTTTTCCTGCGAACAAATTTTGTGCTGAAGAAAGTGTTTGATTGACTTTTGTTTGTCTTCATATTTTTTGTAGGATTAGTCGACATAGCCCGGAATTTGCTTATGATTTAAACTTTTTTTTCTCACTATCACTGGAACCTTTTTCATTTCATTTTTGTCCTGGTGCAATGCAAACTATTGCGTTACAAGAAAGCGTTATAGAGGTGAACATTGGAACCTTGTTCAGGTTTTTTTTCCTGCGAACAAATTTTTTGCTGAAGAAAGTGTTTGATTGACTTTTGTTTGTCTGCATATTTTTTGTAGGATTAGTCGACATAGCCTGGAATTTGCTTATGATTTAAGCTTTTTTTCTCACTATCACTGGAACTTTTTTCATTTCATTTTTATCTTGGTGCAATGCAAACTATTGCGTTACAAGAAACTAAGGATCATCATCTTTAGGTTTCGTTATCCACTTGTTTCGGAACTCATCAATATTAGGGGTAATAATATAGTTTGAATAAAACTGTTTTCAGAATTTTCCTTCAACTGTTTCCTTCAATTGAGCTCTGTTTCGTGTTATTTTTTGGTACTTTGAGGCGAAAGTTTGATTTTCCAAGTCCTATGGTCGAAAATGTAAATTCATTTAGATACTGAGGAATAATGTTCGGGTTGCGTGCACACTTGTGTATAAATACTAGTGTTTTGAATTCAATTCTTTTATAAGCGGGTAGCCAATGAGGATCATGGAGGTGAAGACTGGTACTGCAGAAACGAGGAAGGTTGAATATGTAGCGAGCTGTAAAACTCTGTATTTTGTGGAGTGGCGCTAACTCGCTTACCGACATTCCACCAAGCAGCGAATTGCAATAACCTAGTCAGCTGAGAATTAACTGACGAACAAGCATGATACGATTCTCTTGGGACAAGAAACGTTTAACTTGCTGGAGTTTTCTCTTATTGAAGTAAGACATGGATGTAACGGCAGCTGTATGTTGGTAAAAAGTCAACGAAACATCAAGAACATTTTGACTGCAGAGACTTTTTTTGGAGCGATCAGTTTGTCGTGAAACTCCGAGAATATTCTTGTTCAACTTTATTCCAAGGACTTCAGTTTTTCCCTCATTTAGCTTAAGGCCTGCATTTGAGAACCAGTCTCCCATTATCTTCAAATGGTTTTCCAACTCTAAGTGGACTACAATTGGAACCCGAGCATTTGAAATGAGAAATAGAGTTTCAAAACGGCTGTTCACATGAATAGAGTTCTCGGTAGGCAGATTGACTTTTATGCAAAAGGCTGTTTTCTTCGATGATGCTGGAAAATTGTGAATGAACTAGACGATCCATTACTTCGGCAAGAAACATAGGATTTGATATTGACCGGTAGATATTCAATACTTTGGGGTCTGAGGAATGTTGTATTTTAAGGCTTTACAACTGATACTTTGAGACATGATCGAAAATTTCCGCCGCAAATATATCTGAAACAGGAGTCTCACAAACTTTCAATTTTTTAAATTATCCAAGTTGAAAGGTAGAGTGTCACAGTCAGAAGTACCATTTGATATTGTGCTTATCACGGATTTTCCTTATTTTGCTTATCACGGATTAACACTTTCAAATTCACGGATTGTCGTATCGCAATTAAGTTTTCCTTATTTGGTTGATTTAATAAAAAATTCATTGAAAACAAAGGGTAAAAACGTGTCGAATTCGCAGTTTCTGTCATTAAAACTTCTGATTGGTTAATTCCAAGAATTTAATGGATTGCTCAGTGCTTATCTCGAATGGATGGAAGATTCAAGTTATCCAGTTTGCTTCTATAGAAACTTGATGTTTTATCTTGAAAAAGTATTGTTCTCTGTCATCACTTTGGTCTTGATATTCGGAACCTTCTTTTTGTAAGATCAGTTGATAGTGAATACTGGTGCGTTATTGCAGTTTCTGTTCAATTGTACTTTCTTTTCGGTTTCTTTCAATTCTTTGGCGACTTGCACAACAAGTAATTTTTCAAGAATGTGAAGCCGCGTTGAATTCTTGTCAAAACAGCCGATTTTAATTTTCCATTAGTGTAAATTTCATTGTTATTTTCGCATATCCATCGCAGTGTTCCTGTTTTTGCATGAATCGAGTCCGGTCCTAAGATTATACAAGCTGTGTGCAGTTTGAGACCTTATGACACACTCGACATTTGAGATCCAGACTTGTCGAGGCGTAATAACTTGATCAAGCAGGTTTTCAGGCTTGTGAGTGGCTTCAGTCACATGACACGTGAGATCATATGTTTCGGGAAATGCATTTTTTTCAAATGCACGATTGTGATAGTTTTCATTTAAATGACTGCTTAGATCCTTCATTACAATAACCTGGTCATGTTCTGGTGCTAAGCTAAGAAGAAACTCACTTCCATAAGGCATAAAATGCGAGAGAGATGCAGTAGGAGGACCACGAATTACTATAATTATGCAACAGAAATAATTCGTAGTGTTGAATGTAGCTGAGAAGAATTCAGTCTGGCGAGCAAAATTTTTCGACCAAAGAATGCTTTAGACTCTAGTCGTAGTTTACTGCAGCACCGGCTCCATGCACATGGGTTCTTGGGACAAAGATGAAGCTGAATTTTGGGTTTTCATCTATATGTCTATTATTTAATGAGCGGGACATTTCCAGCCCTATGTTGACATGCTTAAGCATGTTACGCTATCTCTACATGATTTAGCTACACTCTATATTTTCAAGCTATGCTGTGCAAATAGGTTTAAACGTTACTACTAGCCTGCGGATTTTCATCAAGCATCGGCTTTGTGTGTAATCGCATTGTTTTTATTTAAATATGCATGTTTGTAAATGATGCTTTGCCAGGATGTTTTATGTCACTTTTTTATATCATTTTTTAAAACTTAAATCAGGGTTATTTTGAACATCTATTTTGATGCGTCGTGATGCTTTTTTGGTACTCTGCTCCATTTCATATTCTACTTTCTACTAATACTACTCTTGGTTTTGGGCTTCAGTTTTCGTTTTGGAAGCTGAATCCCCTCTTGAATTTGTTTATTGGTTACTGCCGCATGGGCTCAGCTAGGTGTCCACTGCTCTGCGGCTGTTGTGGAGGCTATAGGGACATGGCACAGTTAGTAAAAGCAGTAACCGTAAATTGAACAAGTTCAAGAAAGTTGAATGAACTAGCTATGAGGCGCTACGACTAGCGAGTTTTCGGGTCAAGTTTATTTCGGCAAACAGTTTTGGCAGGTCAATTTTACCGTTTCAAATAAGTTTGGATGATAGCGCAGGACCACGAAATGTCAGGGTTGTCATTAGCAGCCTTCTCTTAAAAGCATTTTAACTGATTTGTAAGAATTTAGTTTTTGTTTTCAATTCATTTACTTTTTCTTTCAAAAATCTATTTTTCCTAAATCAGTTACTCATTTTGTCCCATTTTGAATGATTTAGGAGTGAGAAAAAAACGTTACCCAATCAATTTGTTGATAGTTTTTATGTTGGTGAAAAATGGTTTTTATGTTGGTAAAAAAAGCTTAGCACTGATTTGTTTATTAGGTTTTTCAAAAAGAGTTCCCAGATGTTTGCTATTTTTTAAATTAAATTGTTTTCCCCTTATTTGTTTTTTTATCGAACCAAAGTGCTATGCAGTGATTTGTTCTTTTTATTTATGTAATTTGAATAAAAACAGTAACTGGTTACTTTCGTTCTATTCTTTTCTAATGTATTGGACTGATTTCTTGATTAATTTCAGTTTTGTGTTTCTTCAGGTTTTTCACGAAAGCTCTGCAGTGATTTATTCCCTTTTGAGTTTTTTTTGAAAGAAACACCTCGGAATTTTTTTTGTACAAAAAAGCGTCGCACCCAGTAATCCCAGTAATCCATTTTCACAAAAGAAAAACTCAATAATTTGTTGTTTTTTTGTGAAGCAACGAACAGTTATTCCGTGAAATTTTTTGATATCATGTAATTTAAATAAAGTTTTCCTTTTATTTTTTTTCAATGATGTTTTTACTGATTTTAGAGAAAGCTGTGCAGGGATTTTGTTTTTTTCATGGTTTTCACGATACATGGTTTGCAGCCAATTGTTACTTTTGTATTTCATTGTTTGGTTCAGCTGAGCCATTGGTTTTTTTTCTCATTTGACTTTCAATCGAGTGTTGTTTGGTAAAATTTTTTAATTTGGTCTTCTGAATTTTGGAGTTGGCTGGGTTTTTAAGCTGGGTTTTTAAATCATCATTTGAATTGTAAAAAAAAACAAGCGGTTAGTTTTAGTTTTGATCATCTCACTCATATGCTTTTGTTTTTTTTGTTTTGTTTTGAGTTTCTGAGGTTTATTAATTTTTAAAGCACGATACCCCGTACATGATTCGGTCTGATCCTCTAGTTTTTTAATGCGCTTTAATATTGTATCATGATTCAAGCTTTGAAAAACAATATGTTTTTTTACTCTATCAGCAATTTAGAAAAATCTTTTGTCTGATCTTTTTAAGAAAAGCATTTGGAAAAAGTTAAGGTTATGTTCGAGCTCTCATTGCTTTTTTTCTGATCATATCTGTAACGCTGAACCTGCCTTTTCTCTATGTCATTCCCTTAATTTATAGAAACGATGTCCGGTAATTTTTCATTTCGTTGAAAATTTTGTTTTGATTTTTTCGAAAACGAAACAACCGATTTTTGATTAATTATCTTTTTCTTTTGTTGCTGTTTTCTTGGGTATGCCTAGTGTCTAATTCACTCTATTAAATTTTTAAGCCTGTACTGCTTGAACAACTGATTTGTGGAATTTCGGAGATATAAATGTAACTTTTTGAGAAAGATTGTATTTTATGGAGCTTTGTTTTATTATCTTTTATAAAGTTTCTGTAAAGACGAATTTAACACACTGATCAATATTTTGAGCTCTGCATAAATTTTGCCTTGAGCTTCTTGATCATAAAGCAGTTGTGATTTGAAATCTCAAATCATTTTGACTGATCAACTTGATGAATTCAGGTGTTTTTCTTGCTTAAATTTAGATAGTCATTCAGAATGCAGAAATTTCTGCACTGGATCGCTAGTTACATTGATTTAGGATGTAATCTTCTGAGGGGTTAGAATCAATCCATGTTTCTGCAATGACCAGAATATGAGGTCCTAAAAGAGCTATAGGCTACTAATTTGATTTGTTTTATTCCGAATTAAACAACCGTTCGCAAGTCCTATGTTCAAAATATCGATCGATCCGTTTAATGATTTTGTGACAGTGATTTTAGGCAATCGCATGCAGCGGTGTTTAGCCGATATCTTTCCATTATCATGCATTCTGCTCAACTGGCAGCACTCATCGATATTTATATCATCTTCTTTGAAAACGTAGTGAGGTTCTGATTTGGATACTTTTTTTAATGTGAAGTAAATTTGTGCCCATATTATTGCAATGCTCTGTAATATCGTCCGTCGTTGTTTCTGAGTGAACCATTCTGAGATAATTATGTCTTCTGGGTGCAGTGTCAATAAGTTCTTCGGGAATAGATTTGATATAATTTTGCGTTTGCCTTACAACAGCAATGATAGGCGCTGGTTTGTCAAATTTCTTTTATTTGGATGTCTGTCCTAGTTTGCTTGAATCGTTTCTTGTTTACTGGTGTTGTCGAGGTGATCGAACAAGAACTATTTAACCTTTGACGTGATATCTGTTTCTGTAAAATGCTTGAATAGTTTTTTTACAGTAAGATCAGTTGGTGCTTGTTCATTGGTGCTTGCTTTTTGATTTCTTTCAATTCTTGGGTGACTTGCACAAGTAATTTTTCAAGGTTGTGAAGCCCTGTTGAGTTCACGTCAAGACCAGGCAAGTTCAGTTTTCCATCAGTGGATATTTTATTGCAGTTTTTTGCATATTCATTGCATTGTTCTAGTTTTTGCGTGAATCTTGTCCGGTTCTAAGAATATACAGACTGTGTGCGATTGGAGACCTCATGACACATACGACATTTGAGATCCAGACTCGATAATTTCCCGGCAAATTTAATAATGATGGTTTTATCAATATTGTCATATCAATATTTGAAAAGACACTATTAAGAAAGGTTATGAAAAATTGCGAAACCTCTTATCCGGCCTCTGTCTGATTTAATCTTAGTTTAGGACTGTTTCCAGGTTCTGGTTTTGACTGGTTTATAAATTACGGTTTTGTCTAAATTACGGTTTTGACTGCTTTATGATATCGGCTGCAGTTAAATTTTTTGGGATTTGGCCAGAATAGTCCGATTGTGTGAGCTTCATCACATGGAGATTTAAAGTCACCGTCGACTATGAAGTCCATCAACCTTATAATAAGCTACATATAAGCAGGAAGTTTAAATTGCAGCGCGCATCATGTTGAAGGGACTGTTAGTTGTATACATATAGCGCGAAGTGTGTTACTTTGCAGGTCAACAGCTGGATGGTGGAAGAACCCGTTTTCGTGGAGCTGCCGCTACAGTCTGATTGAACTGCATGCTCAAATGGTGTGTGCCGAGTGCGATTTCCTAATTGGACTTCTCTCAATTCTCAAATCAGTTATTCTTCTACACAAGCGGCAGGACCAAGTAGAAATTGAGAGCAGCGAACTAATGCGCGAAATATTTCCGGTATACCCATTGCTTCGAAAAAAGACGCCGACGGTTGCACACTTTTACGGCGCTGAGTGTATGTACACTCTTCTGGAACCGAACTCTCTGAGTTTTTCAGCTGGAGTATCTCTGTTAATTACACATTTTGCCCGGCTCGCCCGCGCTGGGCTGAGTTTCATGAGCGCTCATAAATCTTTCGAGAAATTGATGAAAATCGTGTCCGAGACCATCGTGACGGACTGTGTTCAATCTCATTCCAATTTGTTGGACGATAGATTGTTTTGCGAATTGAAATCTGGAGTTTACGTTGTCATGGGGGCTATGAAACTTTTTTCAGCCGTATTGCCTGCCAAAGTGCTTTCGTTGTTGAGTATAATGCATAAAATAGATGCTGACAAGACGGAGGGAATCGAACTGTTAAGACAAGCTCAAAGTCTTCCAGCGATGAGAAGTGTGCTCGCAACTAATTGCATCCTAGCTTATAATTTGACGTTTTTACAATTTGTTGGACCTGTCTCAGAGTTCGATAAAGGTAGTTGTCGTTTGGCTCTAAAATCTTTGGCCGAGGAACTGGGACAAACTAGTTTCTTGTATGAGTTTTACCGTTTTAGACAGCAGTATTTGCTGCAAGATCCCAGCCAATATCAATGCCTTATGTTTAATTTTGACCGCTATCCTAGTTTGTTACAAGTGAGAATGATTTTTATCTATGAATCAATGTGGTACCATGCTACAGTTTTGAATTGGCAATCGGCTGCGATGTGTGCGGGACAATTGGCCTGCGCGACTCAATGGTCTCGAGCCTATTTCATCTACCTCTATGTCTTATTCAGACTCCAAATGTGCCATGAAAGTGGAGCTAGTGAAGAAAGAAAACGGCATGAATACAAACTTCTGCTGGGGAAGTTTCTCAATATTAAGAAGTTCAATGTTTGTGAATCGCAAATAAAGTCTATAGCCGTCGATCGACTGGCAATGAAACGTGCGAAAATGTTGACAAATTTAGGCGCCGAAAGTTCCGTTGTATATTTAATTGAAGCCATGTTTTGGCACGACGAGTTGCGATCAATATATCAAGAAGACTTTTTCTGTTATCTCGAAAAAGTTGTGATATATAAAAAGCAAAGTTTATCAGATGACGATTTGGAGAAACATCTTAACAGCGAGATTTTCTTTCACCGAAAGCTCGCTGTCGTGTTGGTATGTGCCTTTATTTTGCCGAGTAAAAGAGGACATTTTAAATTAGAAGACATCAGATCAAATATAGTACTTGAAAATTGTTTTAGATGGTTGCTGTTTTTCTGTGATAATTCACAATTTGAAGATTGTGACATTCAAATTTTATCTTTATTTTTGCTACTCAGAATAAGTGTAATCGTTCTTTTAACTGAGAAGCATTGGAAACGGGATTTGAAACATCGGGCCAGAAATTATCTTAAAATCGGGACAGAATGGATGAATGAAAGTGAACTCAAAGCTGTGATGCGATTAAAACTGGGTGAGTTTAAAAAGTCTGTGGAATTTTTGCAATCTACGTCTGTGTATGCAGGCCGCGTGCACTTTTTCGTCAGAAATTTAGCAGGGCTGATTGATACTCCTTTGGAAATGGATTGTGAAGCGTGGAGTGAAGAATCCATACCTTGCATCTGATAAACATTTTGGCACCCATCTTGATGTCAAGGAATGACTCAAACTCCGAAATCAAGTAGACATATCCATAGTTTTTAAGAGTAATGAACGTAGTGAGTACTCTTATATAGGTCTTGCTGATTTTTTTCAGGAAGTCTTAAAATTTAATCAAGCTCAATTTTGATTTTTCGCGCTTTGATTGGTGATTTCTTTTTAAGTTCAGTGCATTTTTTTTGTTAAAAGGAAGGCAAACTCCACTATCGAACAGCGAAATTGTGAAGATCACGAAAAAGGTGATCGACTTCTAATTTCGAAAATTGAAATTAATTATCAGATTTCCCAGCGAAATAAAGTCTTACCTATTGATCCAGTTTTCTCAAATTGGGTTAGTTTTAATAAAAAAGTGTCCACGATGAATTGTTCTAAAAATTCAAAGAACTTGAAGGCTATTTATTTTTTCTTCGAAATTCAAAGGATGAAGTTTTTTTTTTCAGTTATTTTGCTTTCATTACTCTTTTCCAACTGTCAGTTGGCTATGTTCTTCAGTAGAGGGAAAATATAGGTAATTGAAATTTGAGTAGTTGCAATGAACTAGTCGTGTACTCTTTTTTCTCATGTCTCTTAGTCTTTTCGACTTGAGTTGCCGAATGGTCTCGTTAGGTTTTCGGGCTATTTTAGTTATCACTTAAGTTTCTCAGCTTATTGATTTTTTAAGCGTTCGGTTGTGATTTAAACCAATTATACTGTCGTTGAATATATATATATATCTAGCATGTAAATTTGGTATCTTCAGAAATGAATGATTTCTCGGCTTATGAATTGGAACCGAGTGTTTTATTTGTGGGTGAAAATGTACACTTTGTTTCTTTTGCGAGTGATTCGTCCGTTTTCACAGCTTCAACTCTAGAGCCTCAAAATTACCTCAAAATATACAATTTGATTTCGTCAGCGGGCTCCGTGGACAATGAAAGTAGTAAAGCAATTGGCAAAACCTTAACCTTGTCACCTCGTAGTTCAAACGAGTACAAAATATCGGGCGAGCCTACAAAGCTGACAACTGAGACAACCTCACAGCTCGGATTTTGTTCAACCTCGCAAGGCGATGTGTTCTTTGTGAACAAACTATTGGAAGAAACCAGTGAAGCGAGAGGCGTGATGACTCACATCTGGAAAAATGTCCATGCAAATATGGCTTCTAGCAATACGTTTGACCAAAAGTTTACTAGTTTGGTTTCTTTTGGAGATAACAACACGATAGCCTTGATGCAAACTGATGATTACTCGAAAGTTCAGAGGTTGGTCTGGCCTTATTTCTTAAATCAAATTTGATAAATATTTTCGCTTTAGAAATGAATGACGATTTAGGTATGATTGTTTTTGGAGGACGATTTTTTTTCGCCAAGTGTTTCGATTGATTCACTTTTTCACTCCTGTATTTCAAGCTCTCAAACTGAGATGAATCGAGACATGTTTTTCCCGTAAACAACTTCGTCCATAGGACGCATCGACTCCTGGTGGTACCTTGGTTTATAACGAATTAAAAGTTCTTATTGTCTCCTGTACACTTAGCCTGAAGGTAACGAATACGCCTGGTAAGGCAAAGGTCTTTTTCTGCTTTTGTTTTGTCGGCTTTTTGGTCTTTTTTTTTCACTTTTTTGTTCGAGTTAGTCGGTTTAGTCTTAGTTTATGTCGACTTAATGGTCCCTTTTTGCATCGTTTGATGACCCAGAAAAGTTTGTGCATGTGTGTTCTGAGGGGAAGGGGGTCTCATAATTTTTTATTAACATTTTTTTCGGGATGAAGGGCTACTGCTGAGGTTTTTTCTGCTTTTTTTTTACCGCATTGTAAGTTTTGTTCCGATGCTAATTTTGCATTCTGTTGTCTTGGCGTGTTTTTTTTTCAAAACTACCTTCATTCATTTGGATAGATTGGCTGTATTGATACTTATAACTAATCGATATTACTTTTTTGCTGATGCTTGTTCGCTTTTCGATTTACCTCTCGGTTTAGTTTCCGAATTGTCTATACCACCTTTATTTCAGTACCTATATGACTTTCGTTGATTTTTTTGGGCAGTACATATATATTTTCCAATAAGATTTTGCCGAACATTTTTGGTTGATTTTCAGCTAATTGGCTGTTGGCTTTAATTTACCTAATTCTTTGGTTCCTACAAATTTCTGATATTATTAATGAGATCGTTAAGACTTTGGCCCCAAATTTAAAATTTTGAAGTCAAATTCAACCCCAATTGGAACTCATTAAAAATTTTAATAAATTTAAACACAAAAAATTAGAAGTCCTCATTGATAGTTCTTAAGTATCTTGCTGTTTTAATCCCTTACATAGTGTATCGCAAGTAGTGCGAAGCTCAGCTTCGCCTCTGTGTTGAAGTCTATTTTTTGTTTCAGAGTGAAAAATCCCAGCGGGTCTGTGCCATTTTGCTGTCGATTTTCATCTGCTAATTGCATACTGACTGGAGATCTGCTCGGCCATAATGTTTTATTTGATTTGCGTGAACAGAGTACGCCATTGAAGTTCGCGCCGCCACAGAGTGCCAACAAAACACGACACTTTTCTAAAAATATGGTCTCCGGAGTTACCTGTCTGGACGTCAAACCCGACCAGCCAGACGTAGTTGCATGTGGAATGGAAAACGGCGAGGTATACATGTGGGACTTACGCAATGTTTCGTCTCCCGTGTCTTATTTTGAAGGTCACGAAAGGTCATTATGGGACATAAAGTTCCACCCTTCAAATTGCGCTTTGCTGTACACGGCTTCAGAAAACGGAGAGCTTTGGCAATGGGGTTCCTCTCAATCAAAATCTACGACTGATTTTCTAAGTAGAAGTCAGCTGAATATGAGCTCGGCATCAACCAATCAGAATGCAAGAAATGGGCCATCCAATCACGATGTTTGGAACAGTTCCACCAATGAGATTTGTGTAGATTCGCTGCTGCCTGAAAACAATGTATTTGGAGTTTTGTCTTTATCAGTTATGAATTCTAATTTGGTTTGTGCTGTTAGAAACCAATCTGTGTTTGTTTTTTCTGGAATATCGTTTTGAAATTTGTGGTTTTAATACTCTCAATTTATATTTGTGTGTTGAATAAATTTCAGCAAAGGTAGTGCGTACAAGGAAGCTTTTTGCCCTATGTATAACAACAACTGACAAGTAATTTTTATGCAGAAGAGGACAGCGATGGAACTTGTCTTATCAAACCCACTATGGTTGTCCAGCTTTTTTTGTCAGCTTCTGTCAGTGCATTTACTTTTAGATAACCATGCGTTGATTGCGAAGGTTACCTTAACCGAAATTTCAAAGTCCATATTTATTCAAGAACAGAATTAAAAATGATGTCACAGGCGTCAACTCGGAACAAAAATGAATCAGGAGGTTTCATTTACAACTTGTACAACAAGTATAAATTCCCCTTCATAGCATTTCTGCTGAGTATCTACGCGTGGTTCCCAAAAATTCAAACATCTCTTTTGCCGCTTGTATTCATTCCAGTAGCCGTGAATGATTTACAAGATATATCATCTTTAGTAGTTCACCCATTTTCAATTGAAAGGGAGCCTCATCTGATTATGTATTCAAAAAATAACCTCTCAATCTATAATTTACCTCACGAGTCAACATCATGTAGTATGCAGAAGTTGGAGATTTTGAACGCAGCTACTTTCATTCGATCTACCTCAATTGAAGACTTAGGAATAAAAAGAGACTTATTGCTGTTGAAATCCTTCCAGTCATGTGACGATGAAATCAGGAAAGGAAAAAAGAATAAGTGTGAAACTAACTTCGTCATCATTTCATCGGATTTATCAGTGGCGGTTTTGACTTTTGAACTGAAAAAGACACACTTAATATCATTAGACAAGTCTCTCGAAGTGTCTTTTCTGGGATGTAAAGTTGAAGATTTGAGTGTGAAAATTGACCAGCATGGTGCATTTGGGCTCATTTTTGCCAAGTTTGAATCTGAAAATGCCAAAGAAGAAGCAAAAGAGGCTAGCGTAGATGAAGTTTCTGGCAAATCGAGCAATGAAAAGTGCAGAGTGAATGAAGCATTTTTATTTCGCCTTAATTTGAGAACAGGAAGAACGCAGGATGTCCAAAAGTATTCAGAAAAAGACGTCTTCAGGTAAACAGATTTGAGTAATTAACATGCGCTTCATGTGCCAGAAAATCTGACATATTCATGAGTCTCAAGGCGAAAATGTCATAGAGAATGTGCATAATGTACTTAAAACTTGCGCAAAAATAGTTTCAGTTCGATGCAACTTTCCACAGAGAAAAAATCGCTTGTGACAGAACCAAATTCTGGAAAAATGCTTTCACTTTTTTTCCATTTTTCAACTAATACATTTTTGTTCGCTTAATTTTGAAGTTATAATATCGAATTTCTTGGATTCAGATTGAAGTTTTTCTGTTTCAGAGACTGGAGTTCTTATTCTGGATCATTGCACGGTGTTGTACACGACTGGCACACGTTTGAAGACACTCATATAGAATCCGCCTCAGTTCTGACTAATCAGGAGCGTTTGATGAGCAGAGCCGCGGCTAAACTCAGCATGTCTAGTCAGCCCACAATCGCAGAGACCTACGGAAGGGCCAAAAAATCCACTCCACGTTCTCTCCTTTTTGAAACTAATGCGGTTAGTTCATCAAAGTTGCGTTTAGCAAAAGCGTTTAGCAAATTCTTGAAAAACTATTGAGCTTCACCCTTTTAAACAGCAAGGCTAGGATGAACTGATCAGCTCATTCTTTCCGACCATTGGTACAATTTTTTGTGTTCAGTTTGGGTGTACCCTTAGTTGCTTTGCAACTAACGTGAGATTTATAAAAACCAACTAAAGCGCATTAACTGCTGCCTGGGTAGTTACAATAAAATCATGGAGGATGAATTAAGCAGCAGTGGTTTAATTGTAAAGATACTGTCGTGGCTATGACTTTTTTCACCTCTTTCAAATAGTTCTGAAGTAAGAATTTGTTCTAGCTTGTTTGCTTTCACATTGGTTTAAAATTTATTTGAAATCGCCGATCGGTTTTTTCTGGCCTACCTGGTGCTTTGACTAACCGGTGCTTTGGAGTAATGAGCCTAGTTCTATCGTGTTGTTCTTGAATCGAGCCGAAAATAAATTGTCGGCTTATTATTTGTCTGCTTTTGTTTTGTCGGCTTAGTTGCCACATCGTATAATTGTTTTTTTTTGCTGTACGTTTTTCAGATTGTAGTTGCTTTTAGTGCTTTGATTTACTTCTGCTGTTTGTAATTTCTTGACTTCGTATATATTTTTTTCTCGCTTAAAACTTTTACTCTGCCCAACTGATTTCGGCTTATATTTTATCGGCTTAGTGACCTAATTTTGAGTAGTTTCAAGTAAACATAATTTTTATGCGCACTAGATTGCACGAATTGCTTAAATTTTTACAGAAATAATAGCTCAAGTTTTTCATGGCAACATTTTTTTGCCTTTTTTTTTCTCGGCTTCATATGTTTCGGGCACAAATTATATCGGCTTAATGGCCTCATAATGCGTCTTTTGACGAGCGAAAAAATTTGTATCTGCGTGTGTGTTGTGAGGGGGAGATTGACATCTAACTTTTTTAAGATTTAAGTCTGGTTGGTTTTTTTGGCTTAACAGGTTTGTGCTAAGGTATTTTTGGCTTTGTTACCGTTTCGTAAGTTTCAAATTTCACATTCTATCGTCCCGGCATCTTTTTGTTTCAAAACTAGCCTGATTCCTTTTCATATATCTAGTTTTTTCGACAGTTCCTTGTTTTTTTATTTTTCTGACTAAGCGGCTTTCTGGTTTTGTGTCGCAAGTGGTGCAAAGCGCAGTTTTGCCTCCATGTAACATATTCATGTTCTTGTTTAGTAAACGTTATCAAAATGTGACGAAGTTATTTTTCTTGTGAATAACTTGTGTTACAAAATCTCTGAATCATTTCGGGCCGACTCAGTTACCTCATCAACCAATAGACTGGTTTAAGCGCGTTTTTTGTTCAAATACCCAGTCTACTCAAATTTTTAAGAATCAATAAACGTAATGAATACTCTTGTTTATGTCATGATGGTTTGTTTTTAGGAAAAACTCTCGCGGTTTGTTCACGGTGAAAATTGATTTTTCGCTATTTCACTTTTGATTTCATTTTAAATTCATTTTATTTCCTTTGTTGAAAGGAAGCCACACTCCATTATCGAACTGTGAAAGTGTCGAGGTCACGAAAAATAGGACCGATTTCAAAATTGGGCTTAAGTTTTGCGAACAACCAGAATAGTTAAAAGTTAACCTATTGGTCCATTTTTCTCAAATTGGTCTTATTTTATCAACAAAGTCAATCATAAATTTCTCGCGAATTTCAAAGATATGAGAGAGGCTATGCATTTATTTATTTGAAGTTGAAGTTGTTTGAAAAAACAAGTTCGTTTTTTTTCTGTTTTCTTGCGTTCATTGACTCTTTTCCAACAGTCTGATAGCTATGTTTTCTTTTCATTCTGTTGTTATGAATTATTAGCGTATTACGCAACTGGTCGAAATTAGATTTGTCGTTTTCGACCGACATTGTTAGTTTTCTTTGATTGTCTTTGCTGTTTTGGGTTCCACAAACAAATAGCTGAAACATTATAATACTCGAAATTGCCTCAAAAACCCGCGAGTTGGCAGAATCCGCAAACAAAATTGTAAAATCCGGTATAGACTGCGAATTCGCTTGCATTCACGGCCTAGTAAAGTGGAGTCCACTTAATCATTTGGATTATTTATAGAGACCTGTCTCTGGAGTCCAGTGGCCTACAAAGACCTACATAGACCTAGAAATTGTGCGCCTCTATAGTGCACAATTTGATCTCGTAATGTTTCTTTCGAATTATAATCGGCCCTGTATTTTACGTTTTAATGCTAACTAATTGTAGCTGGAAATTCATCAATCTATACATTATTTAATTGTTTTTTCAATTGACACATGTTTAAGAAGTCCCTAGATTGACATGTTTGATAATTTGCCAATATTTTGCAACGTTTCAAATGTTTCATTAATTTCCACGTTTTAAGTTTCCGATGTCCTTTGGTTTTCTAGATATGGCGTTTTTCATGATTTTTTCGTTTTTTTTTTTAAAAAAAACTTAATTTGAAAAAACTAACAGATTTTTTATTTCTCAAACTTATAGTGGGTTGCTCGCTGCATACTTTATGGAGTTGCAATTATGATCTCAAATATGACTCCTAAAATCATTTTGGTTTTTGAGATATGGCGTTTTCTGATATTTTTTCCTTTTTTTGTCGAGAAAAATTTAGGTTTAAAAAGCAGGAAATCTGATTTTTGTTGCGGGTTGCTATCGGGGTACACTCAGGCGTATACAATTTGGTCTCCCAGTTTTACTGCGCGAATCCTTCTGCCGTTGGAGATATGGCGTTTTTTGTGGATTTTCAATTATTTCAGTTGCTTTTTTTTTTCGCAAAAAACTTTTTAAAAAACTAGCAGAATGAGAGTGCCGTAAAGTTTCTTCATGGGATTGAATTTCTGCCCTCATACTGTGACCTCTCAAATCTTTTTTAGTTTTTCAGACGTTTTTTTTATTTTTCAATGTTATTTTTTTTTTTCAAAAAACGTAGATTTGAAAAACTAAAAGAAATTGAAATTCTCAACATTCAAGTGCTTTCAGGGTACACTAAGGATTTTTAACTATGGCGTCCAAATATGGCTGATTAAAACCTCTAAAAAGCCGAGATATGGTGTATTTTATGCTGATTCAATTTTTTCTTCAATGAACAAAGACTTAAAAAACTTGAAATTTTCAACAAAGTATTGTGTTGCTGTGAACGAACTCCTCGATATTGCAAGTTTTGCTCATAATTGATCTTCACATTTTAATTTTCCGAGATAGAGTTTTAAGTTATTATTTTTTCAGTTTCTCTGTAAACTAATGAAATTTTTAGTTACTTTACAAATCTTCAGTAAACTAAAGTTATTTTTTCAATAAAAATCTGATTGATGGCAGAACTTGTGATTTTTTTTTGGAAAATTACGGTAAGTGCAATTGTATGCTGTCGGCTTTTAAGTGTCCTTTTTGAGTTTAAAGTTTCACAAATCTGATAAAACGCAGTAGTTTTGTAGATATGACCATTTGAGTGAAAAAGAACCTAAAGTATGGCATTATAAGTTTTATAATTAATTAAATTGAAAACCCTGATGCATGGGTTCAATTTAAATTTACGGTTGCATTAAATGTCGTTGTCTTTGTAAATTTTCTTGGAGGCTATTTTCACGTTCAACAATCCATTTGAAGCACCGTAGTTGCGAGTCACGCGCTAGTTTCTCCAAATGTTTTCGTCAAAATAAAAGCAATTTGCTCAACATATGAAAACTTGGTATGATTTTTATCAACATTTTCTATGATTTAATTTCTTTGACTCTTAGTTCTCTCTTTGTTTAATTTTAATGCTTTTGCCAAATAGAAGGCAAAAGTTGATTTCCAATCACAAAACTGAAAATCGCGCGAAAAAACGTGAATAACTTCATAAATGGATTTAAATTTCCATAAAAACTGGCGGATTTTCAAAATTCCCTTATGAAAAAGTGTTGAAAAATGTTCAAAAAGTCAATCATATTTATGGCCATCTTGATTTCATTGACACTTTTCCAATTGTCTGTTGGCTTGTTGTACGTTTTTTTGACTTCAATTGAGGGATTTATCCTGTTTTTAATGTGATCTGAAAAAAATGGATTTCAAAAGATTGTTTTCCGCATGTTTTTTGTGTATTCATGGAAGACTGTATTTTCTAATTGTTTTAGAACGCATTTCTCGTTAAGTTCTCTGGAGGAATATTAGCGGTTAACAACCACACGCTGGAGCCAATGACTCTGATCAAGCTTCCAAATAAGGAAATGAATCGCTCAATTCATGTCATCTGGGACCAGGAGATCCACTCGGTGGCATCTATCGACATTGGAAGTTCCCTGAAGACTATCGGGATTCCCAGGATCTTCGCGGAGTCAAGAGTTTTAGGGCAGACCAATCACATTTTCCAGAAACTTCTTTCAGTCCAAGACTTGATTGGAATGACGATCGAGGAAAGTCTAGAAGATCTGAGGTTCCTTCAGCCTCCAGTTGTGTTTTATGCTGAAAGGCCATCCAAGTTCGACCACTTCAGTTTTCTCTCGAATGCGATTGGATCCAGTGAGCCCAAGTTTTTGTTCCACATAGGTTATGGAACCATGAAAGCTTATGATTTAGACGGCATTCTGCAGTGGAAAAGCGAAACGAGTGCGAAATGGCAGGCGAAATTGAAAATAATACGAGCGAATAGTCACATTGAAAGGACATTCAAACCCGCTATTCGAAAACTGGAGTCTATAAATGCTTTTGTCATTCAAGGATTTGACAGTTTGGCAGTTATTTCGGAGCTGAACGGAGTTGAAATAGCTACTCATTCTTTACCATCGCACCCTGTAAAAGACCCAATAGTGATTGACTTCAATTCAGATGGCATCGATGACATCATAGTTGCTACAGCACAGGGCCTGGTTGGGTTCTCGCTTTGCCCTACCTTTTCATCAGTGCAAATCTGGATCTTTGTGTTCTCCCTGTTCATTTCTGGATTCTTATTTTTCTTGGGAGTGTCAATCAACAAGTTTAGCCTGGACTGAATAAATGAAACAAAGGTCAATTTTTTATTTAAAGTTATTTTGGCTGAGAGTTGTTTGACATTTATGTGCACCAGTAGTTGATCTATAAAAGATGCATGGGCAAACTGAAATGGTATTTGCATTGCATAGTTGTCATTACATTTGACTGAAGACTTCGGAATTCGCTATTGTCGTTCAAACGGTCACTCGAAGAATGAAGATTCTAGCTCCTGGGTTTGCTGTTTGCGAATTTGATTATGTAATCGACAAGCTGGAAACTGCCACTGAATCGTAGGTTTTGTAAGTTCGAAACCTTGCGAGCGTTTTGTATTTGAAACACAATATTTCTATCAATCATTTTTCTATTTTCCATTTGTGAACTGTATACTATTAGAATTAGTTTATTATGTCTTGAATATTTGTTTTCATTGCTTGTTTCAAAGTCCAATTAGCAGTCAAAAATTTTATTTTCTAAATTTCCGTTTCTAGAATTGTAGCCTGGTCACTTGACATTGACCAATATTTGGTTCATTTTCTCTTCAAATTAGGTGATTTTCAGATTTACGTTGTCACAACAAAAGAAATATTTTTGGGGTTGCGACAATTGTACCTTTCGGGATCTCGGGACCTGGCGGAGAACATAATAGTTAATTAACTTCGTCAACTGAGAGATATAATAGCAACAGGGTTGGCAAAAAAAAGTAATGAATGAAAAATATAGTTGTTTTAGTTATTCTTAACAATGGATTTGCTTGAATCTTTATTTTATAGGTTTGAGAATACTGTGGTTTAATTTCAAGAGCTGGCCATGAAAAATATGGCGTATGATATGTGAGTGAAATGAATCTTTTTTGCTGTAAAAGATGTTTACTAATGATTATTTCATCATTGAATAAGCTATTTTGAATTATATAAAAAAAATTGCCAACTCTGAGATACAATGTAGACTAAAGTGGCTGAATTATGCCAGACGGCAACCGTATCGGGGACAAGGCTCCTCTGGTGACTAACTCCTCTGAAGAGGATAGTCATGACGAGATGAGCACGAGGGAAGCAGAGGACGAGGATGATCAGGTCCTCATTGATCTGAGCCAATCTGACTTGCGAAGGTAAGCTCATAAAACTTAGTCTTACAGTCAAAGAACGAACAGTCAGCAACGCCTGTCTGGGAAGTACGTTGTTTTTCATATTACAATGTCCACTTTTTTCCAACCCAATTCTCATATAAAAAGAGCTTTTTTGAAAAGTCCCCCGGTCCTACTCAAAGCATGTCAATGGGGGACGTCGTCAATTTCTACGTAGCCTGTCCCACCTTGCCACTGTGGCCCCTTCAACCCTGAGCAAAGTGGGATTCGAACGCACGACCCTCGTAATGAGGGACGTGTTCCTTAGCAGCAATAGCATTATATTTGGCTCTTTTGCTGCATAGCATTACATCTTTAAGTCTGTTTTATTGGCGGCTAGTGTTGTACGTTTGTCAAGCGAACATGGTGCAGCGGCGAGGATGTGTGACCCTTAATTTCAAGGTCGGATGTTCGATTATTGCACAGTTTTTTTCACCTTTTCTGTCGAATTTACTTTTGGCAAAAGCAAAGCTTGTGTGCAGGGGCGGATTTAGGGGGGGGGGCGGACGCCCCCCCCCTCAGGGATTCGACCCCCTGCCGACCCAAAGGGCCCCCCTTTGATACTTTTTCAGAAATCCATTTTTGGCAGACCGACCCTAAAATTTTTCTAAAGGCGCCTTCGGCGCCAATATATACTAACTTTGAGGGGGAGCGCGCGCCAAAAAAAACGCTATTTTTTGTCTAAATTTTTCAAAAAGTGCCCAAAAACGGCTTTTTTGACTGTTTTTTCAAAAATTTGCCTGCGGCGCAGAAAATTTTGTCAAAATAGGGGCTAAACAGTGCTTTGGGAGAGCTCGAAAAATCAATTTGGTCGACCTAAAAAAAAAAAAAGGTCGTCAAAATTTTGGAAAATTTTTTGAAAATCCGCCCCCCCCTCGAGAAAATCCTAGATCCGCCCCTGCTTGTGTGATAGTGTGACTTCTTTTTTTCCAACCCAAGTCGCAATTATTGTTGCGACGCATATATTGTTGCGGCGCAAATATTGTTGCGACAAAATGTGTTCATTTTGAAAGTATTCATTTTGATCAGTAATATGCTATTAAGTACAGCAAATTCTCAGGATTTACACAGACTGTTATATTACAAAGAGCACTTAAGCCTTAAGGTATCATGGATCTGTAGCGTAGAGGTAGGGAAGGAGACCCGCAACAAAATAAGAGGGTCCAATCATGGGCAGGGTCGGATGTTTCTAATGAATTTTTTCGTATACTAGTTAAAATGCGTTCGCTGCATAAATTGAGGCATGTAAGTACTAGTTAAAATGCGTCCGCTGTATAAATTGAGGCATGTAAGTTGGTAACTTTTTTTTCAAATTGCACTGGTACAGCTAATGCTGCGTCATAATTGGCTTGCGTCACTTAGTAATTATGTAGACTCATAATTGGCGAGCGTCACTTTAAACATTTTGCAGACTCAAAGTTTGGCTCATCCATCAAGTATGACTCCTCAAATCCTTTTGGTTTTAGTAATATGGTGTTTTTTGTGATTTTAAAAAAAAAATTAGATTATAAATTAAGTTATCGAACTTGCAACTCTCAACTCTATAGTGGCGTGCTGTCAGAGCACACGGAGGCGTTGCAAATCTGGCGTTCAAGTATGAACCCTCAGATCTTTTTAGTTCTCGAGATATGGCGTTTTTTTTGTGATTTTTAGTTTTTTTTCCCAAAATTTATATGTAAAAATTTCAATCGAACCTGAAATTGTCAAACCTAAGATAGGTACTGTCAGGGTACACTAAGGCGTTGCAAAGCTGGCGTCCAAATATGGCTGCTAAAATATTTTTGGTTTTAATGAAATGGCATTGAGTGATTTTTTTTTATTTTTCACAAAAATTCAATGGGTTAGGGGAATGTCATCAATTCTACGTGGACTGCCCCATCTTGAGGAGGCGAAGGACACTGTGGCCCCTCCAACCCTGAGCAAAGTGGTAAACGAAAACACGACCCTCGTAATGAGGGACGTGTTCCTTAGCAGCACTAGCATTATATGTGGCTGTTTTGCTGCATACCCTTACATCTTTGTGTCTGGTTTATTAGCGGCTAGTGTTGTACGTTTGTCAAGCGAACATGATGCAGCCGCGAGGATGTGTGACCGTTAATTTCAAGGTCGGATGTTCGATTCCTGCACAAACTCTCTTCATTTTTTCTATCTAATTTACTTTTTACACAAGCAAAGCTTGTGTGATAGTATGAACTCTCTTTCTTTTCAACCTGAGTCGCAAATGTTGTTGCGACGCAAATATTGTTGCGACAAATTGTGTTCATTTTGATCAATAACATGCTATTAAGTATAGCCAATTCTCAGGATATAACACAGACTGTTAACTATTATATTACAAAAAGCCATTTAGCTTCAAGGTATCATGGATCTGTTGTGTAGAGGTAGGGAAGGAGGCCTGCAGCAAAATAAGAGCAAAAATAATTGAAATGAATTTTTTCGTATACTAATTGAAATGCGTCCGCTCTATAATTTGAGGCATGTTAAATGGTAATTTTTTTTCAATTTTAGTGGTACTGCTGATACGTCATAATTGGCGTGCGTTTCTTAGTAATTATATAGACTCATTATTTGCGTGCGTCACTCAAAACTTTTGTAGGTTCAAAGTTTGGTTCATTCAATTTTTCCCGTCTTTTTTTTGCTTGTTTATGCGAAGTGCAACTTCGCCTCTGTGTACAATTTTTTTTCAGCGCTACTTAACCGTTTTCTCGCCTGTGTTTTGAAAAACTTGACGTTGATTTGAAAATTTCCAAAATTAACGGTTCATGTGTTTGGGCTCATTGGCAACTTTCTAACTGTCCAATGGGCTACATTTTTCAATACCGCCTCCCTCTTGAAGAAAATCTTCTTCCTGGAGCTGGTGGTAAAAAACGTAGCCAGCAGGCAGTTGGAAAATTGTCAATTAGACCAAACATTTAGACTCCTTTTTTGAGAATTATTCAACTTGATTTCAAAATTTTTTTAACAGATGAAGCTTAACTGTTTTCAATACTGTTTTTTACTCTAGCGTCAATTTATTGAATTATTAAGAACCTTCTTTTTTTCTTACCTCAGTCGCAAATATTGGTGCCACTTTTTGATTGCATGTGCTTTGACTTTCGAATACTAATTTAACACAGTTGATGCGTTTTTAATCCATAAAGTGAACCGAAAAAAGCTATTTGTTTTATAGAACATAACAATCATAAAAACTCGATTTGAAATTTTCTTGCTCACTTTATCTCGCATTTTTTGCAAGGCATTAATTTTACATAATGTGGCTTGTACTTTGTGATTTATTACCTGCAAAGTTAGTGTGGGTGCCTTCTGTTTGTTATATTCCAAATTATCACTTGCAAAATTGTATCTATAGTATTTGGTGCCACTTTTGCTGAATAGCATTGGCAATTTATTAGCATATGTAGCAGTTTTATTCGTGACCAATGTTTGTCGGTGGTTTGGCGTGTGTGGTTAAGTGTCTAGTACGTGGGACTCAAAACCTCTTGATTGTAGTAGGTCGCAGATCGAATCCTAGACCTAGCCGAGTTTTTGTAATTCGAGGCTTATTTCTATTTTTCCTATTGCATTTTCTTGAGCTGCTTATTTTTCGTGTTCTCGCTAATGTTTGGGAAGCGAATCTTCGCCTCTGTATCAATACTTGTTATCAAAACTTTGTACACATCTCGAATAACTGAAATGTTAACTAAAATTGAAAAAATTACTCCTGGTGGTACACTGGCTCATAACGAGTTCTAAAAATTCTTAGCGTGTGCGGTACCCTTAGCCTGGAGGAAATTAATACTCCTGAGACGGCCATTTTCCTGGGTTCGAATTTGACCTGGACATGTGTTTTTGTTTTCAAACGACCTATTATTTGTCTGCTTATGTTTTATCGGCTTAGTTGGCATATCTGTGCATCGTTTTTGTTTGCAGCACGCAAAGTTCATTTTGATTTTTTCTGCAGTTTGTCATATTTTGTACCTTTACTTCGTATTTCCTTTTTTGTTTCGCTTAAAAAGTTTTAGTCAGTCCAAATGATTTCAGCCTGTTTTTATCGAATTACTGACCTAATTTCGAGTCGTTTAAGGGGAAACATAATTTTAACGCTCCCCTCCGAATAGCACAAATTGCTAAAAGTCAGAATATAGTTAATAGTTGAAAGTTTTTCATGACAATTTTTTTTTCGTTTCTTCTCGAATTTACCTAAGTATTGTCCTCTCGATAATTGTTTTTGAATTTTCATTCAACGCCGTTGATTGTTTTTCTATACTTGCTTTTCGTGAAAACAACGTCATTCCAGACAACTCTTTGATTTTTTTTGGTTGTTTTGTTTTTGAGTTTTTTTATCTTTCAGACTTAGTGGCCTCCTTTTTAAGTCTGCTAGTTTGTGATGCTATTTTTATGCGGTATAGTAAGTGGCACGAAGCTTGGCTTCGCCGCAGTGTAAAAAACTCAAACTTTAAGTTCTTCAGCGCTAGATTTATCATATCCAAAAATTACTGGGTTTCAGATCGTCGTATTTTAATTAAGACCTAAAATGCCGATAGCATGCAAACCCTAAAATGCCGATAGCATACAACTTGAGTTTCGATATTTATTACAGTTTCAAATTGACTGATTTTGTTAAGTGTTGATTCTTTTTTTTTCTTATATTTTTGTATTATCATAATTTTGGTTCTTGTCTATAGTTATTTAATCTCATTAGCCTGTACGTGCATCATTTGCTGCCCTTAGTTTTTTAACCCAGCGTAATTGACCAAGAAACACAGTTTCTTTCCTCGTATTTTTATTTTTCAATAAGTTTAAGTGAAAATGTTTGAAAAGAAACATCAAAATTGGCATAGCCTTATATTTTTAGAGTTTTAATGATAAGAATTCGGATTTTGAAACCTTGGTAGTACCCTGAACTGAAAGCACCATATCATAGGGTTGAGTTTTTCGATTTCAATTTTCATACAGTATTATTTTACTTTTGAAAGTTTTTTGCTTTTTTTTTTGAAAAATTATCAAAATCGGCAGATCTCTGAAACTACAAAATATCATTTAGAAGTCAGATTTGCAGTCCGTGTGAATACTCCACTGTTGAGTTATTTTTAATACATTTGGAAAAAAACTTATCGTCAAGTAAAAATCGGCCAGATTTGCATTCCCTGGGAATATTCTGACAGTATTTTACTCTTGAATTGAAATTTTCAAATTACATGAAGTTCTTAAATGCAAGTTTTTTGGAACACAAAAATTGTCATATCTTGAAAGTAAAAAGATTCGAGCAATCATTCTGGAGCCCCTGATTTTCAGATTTGCAACGCCTGGGATTCCCTTGACAGCACCCACAATAAGATTGCGAATTTCAGGTTTTGTTTAGTTTTTTTTTCATTCGGTGAGTTTTTTTTAATTATTTTTGATTAAAAAAAACAAATCACAGTAATTATCATATTTGCGTAAACAAGAATTTGAGCAGTCAGATTTTGAGGCCAGAGGGTGCACTCCCTCGGAAAACCCACCAAAGGGTTGCTACTTTCAAGTTTTCTTACTTAAACTTTGAAACGATTAGCTTTTTAAAAAGTTTTTGTTACGAAAACAAGAAAAAGCGGTCATGCCCAACTGTTTAATTGTTTAATTTAATCGTTAGTATGGATATAAAGACGTACTACAACCTTTGCATTGAATATTTTTACTTAATTGAATTCAGTTAACTTAATTAACTTTGCAGTATATTGGCAAGTTAAGAAGTCAACATAGGGACTTCTTTAGCATGTGAAGCAAAACGCCTGTTAAGTAAAGAATGGGTTTGATAAATTTTTAATTACACCTCCGGTACGATCAAGTCATAAGCTTATCAGAAAGAATTTTTTTTAAATAAAAAAACAAGTGATGTTTGAAACCTTGAATTTTCAGTTTGTTTTCATTCTGTAGTATACATCTAGTATGAGTTGTGAAGGAAAACAGGTATTAGAAGTCTCATGTTATGAAATAAGAAACTACTTTATAGGTTTTTGTTTAAGAAAGTTTATGATTTGAAGATTTTTGGTTGGAATTTTTTGATATAATTTTTAAAACATAATGAATTGAATCCCCTTCATGGTTCGTAATCGTAGCATACATATGTTTAGACCGTGTTTTGGTTGGGAAAAATACAAGTCACTTATTTTTACTTTCTAGTAATTTGCAGTGTTCTGTGCTTTGTTCTGGTGTTTTGCAGTTCTTCAGAAGCAGTGTATTAGAATTCATAATTTTGAAAGAGTTGACTGTTCTATTTCAGGAATAACAGCAGCAATCTGTGGACTTCGGCGTCGCAGCACACGACAGGGAACTCGAACTCGTTTCAACACAGCAGTGGTTCCACTCTCAGACCTTACTCCGCTGCACATCAGCAGAAGTCTAGTGTATCCACCGCTGCGACAGACATGGGTGAACACTCCAATGCAGAGGACGACAGCTACAGGTGTGTGTTTTCTAAGTACCACTGCTATGTGATTTTTAACACTCAATGAAAATGCATGCTCAATTTCGTTTCGATTAAAGGAACTCATAACTAAAGCAATTATTGCATGCTAATAGACACATGTTTATTGCTACTCCTGGTTGCTAGTTGGATGGGTATCGTGATATAGCGATATAGTATGAAGGGGTCGAATTCTTGTTGGACGAGCCTCTTTGAAATTTTAGATCTAAGTTTTTGCTTGATATCTCAACCTGTTCGGTTTGGGAGAGGCTGGCAAACGCTCCCTGAGATGTTTGACGCCGTCAGCTTCCACACAAGCGCAAATTTTTAGTTTTTGTGATAATTAATTATGATGTCTTTTGGCGCCAATTTACTTCAATTTTTAATGATCGAGTACGCGCCAAAAATAAAACGAGAACTTAGAGTCAAAACTATTCAATCAGCTCTATCCAACGTTTTTGATTTTTTTCTTCGGTAACCCACTAAACACAAGAAAAAATTAGAATAAACACATTAACCTCAAAGTCAGACTGAATAAACCCAATTGTCAACCCAAAGTCACCCCTGATTTTTTAAACCCACATTCCTACTCAATGCAGGGCCAATTGTGGGATAGGGGGAAATAGTCCATTTCACTTTAGCCAGTACCACTTGCAGGAGGCGGATGACACTGGAACCCCTCTAACCGTGACTAGAAAACTTATGCTGAAATCAGCATGTTATTCAGTCTGACTGTGCGGTTAACATTTATTAAGCTTCATGTTGACGCAAGTCATCATTTTTTGCAAGTTCTTAAATGCAAGTTTTTTGGAACACAAAAATTGTCATATCTTGAAAGTAAAAAGATTCGAGCAATCATTCTGGAGCCCCTGATTTTCAGATTTGCAACGCCTGGGATTCCCTTGACAGCACCCACAATAAGATTGCGAATTTCAGGTTTTGTTTAGTTTTTTTTTCATTCGTTGAGTTTTTTTTAATTATTTTTGATTAAAAAAAACAAATCACAGTAATTATCATATTTGCGTAAACAAGAATTTGAGCAGTCAGATTTTGAGGCCAGAGGGTGCACTCCCTCGGAAAACCCACCAAAGGGTTGCTACTTTCAAGTTTTCTTACTTAAACTTTGAAACGATTAGCTTTTTAAAAAGTTTTTGTTACGAAAACAAGAAAAAGCGGTCATGCCCAACTGTTTAATTGTTTAATTTAATCGTTAGTATGGATATAAAGACGTACTACAACCTTTGCATTGAATATTTTTACTTAATTGAATTCAGTTAACTTAATTAACTTTGCAGTATATTGGCAAGTTAAGAAGTCAACATAGGGACTTCTTTAGCATGTGAAGCAAAACGCCTGTTAAGTAAAGAATGGGTTTGATAAATTTTTAATTACACCTCCGGTACGATCAAGTCATAAGCTTATCAGAAAGAATTTTTTTTAAATAAAAAAACAAGTGATGTTTGAAACCTTGAATTTTCAGTTTGTTTTCATTCTGTAGTATACATCTAGTATGAGTTGTGAAGGAAAACAGGTATTAGAAGTCTCATGTTATGAAATAAGAAACTACTTTATAGGTTTTTGTTTAAGAAAGTTTATGATTTGAAGATTTTTGGTTGGAATTTTTTGATATAATTTTTAAAACATAATGAATTGAATCCCCTTCATGGTTCGTAATCGTAGCATACATATGTTTAGACCGTGTTTTGGTTGGGAAAAATACAAGTCACTTATTTTTACTTTCTAGTAATTTGCAGTGTTCTGTGCTTTGTTCTGGTGTTTTGCAGTTCTTCAGAAGCAGTGTATTAGAATTCATAATTTTGAAAGAGTTGACTGTTCTATTTCAGGAATAACAGCAGCAATCTGTGGACTTCGGCGTCGCAGCACACGACAGGGAACTCGAACTCGTTTCAACACAGCAGTGGTTCCACTCTCAGACCTTACTCCGCTGCACATCAGCAGAAGTCTAGTGTATCCACCGCTGCGACAGACATGGGTGAACACTCCAATGCAGAGGACGACAGCTACAGGTGTGTGTTTTCTAAGTACCACTGCTATGTGATTTTTAACACTCAATGAAAATGCATGCTCAATTTCGTTTCGATTAAAGGAACTCATAACTAAAGCAATTATTGCATGCTAATAGACACATGTTTATTGCTACTCCTGGTTGCTAGTTGGATGGGTATCGTGATATAGCGATATAGTATGAAGGGGTCGAATTCTTGTTGGACGAGCCTCTTTGAAATTTTAGATCTAAGTTTTTGCTTGATATCTCAACCTGTTCGGTTTGGGAGAGGCTGGCAAACGCTCCCTGAGATGTTTGACGCCGTCAGCTTCCACACAAGCGCAAATTTTTAGTTTTTGTGATAATTAATTATGATGTCTTTTGGCGCCAATTTACTTCAATTTTTAATGATCGAGTACGCGCCAAAAATAAAACGAGAACTTAGAGTCAAAACTATTCAATCAGCTCTATCCAACGTTTTTGATTTTTTTCTTCGGTAACCCACTAAACACAAGAAAAAATTAGAATAAACACATTAACCTCAAAGTCAGACTGAATAAACCCAATTGTCAACCCAAAGTCACCCCTGATTTTTTAAACCCACATTCCTACTCAATGCAGGGCCAATTGTGGGATAGGGGGAAATAGTCCATTTCACTTTAGCCAGTACCACTTGCAGGAGGCGGATGACACTGGAACCCCTCTAACCGTGACTAGAAAACTTATGCTGAAATCAGCATGTTATTCAGTCTGACTGTGCGGTTAACATTTATTAAGCTTCATGTTGACGCAAGTCATCATTTTTTGCTATTCTGCGTCATAATTTCCAATTAGTAGCCTACCGACTCAGCCTGATTTTTCTTACTTTGCAGTGGCAATTATTATCATTCCTCGCCAGCTTTCGAATTAGGACGCCTCTGTGAAGGGGTACTAGGCATAAGCAAGCCTTTAGTGTTTAATTTATTTTTGGTTCAAAGAATAGAAAAAAGTGTACTAAAAAGTCTTAGTAGAAATTTAATGAGAAAATAATGACGCTGTATAGTTGAAACAACTAACGCTGATTGTTTTGAGTGTTGCCACTTGTTCTATTGTTGTAAACAACGTTTTAAAACAATAAAAGAACAAAATTCCTTGATATTCTTTCCAAGAACTGCTTTAAATTAAATCAATGTTCAATTTTATGTCAGGGACTGGTTCGAAGTAAACGTTTAAGTTACATTCGATGGTCATTGCATACAAGTGAGGGGGAAAAGCCGGTTACTGTGCAAGAAGCAAAAAAATTCTACGGGCCACAAATCCAAAAAATGAGTAATAATTCTTAAGAGTAAAGGCTCTTAACGTAATGAAGGTTCTTATATAGGTCTTGGTGTTTTTTTTGTTTTTTTTCGGAAATTTGTTCATATTTGTTCACACTCAAGAATGATTTTTAACAGTTCGGCTTTTAATTTCTCTTTATTTTAGTTAATTAGAAGACACATTCCTTTATCGAACAGTAAAAGTGTAAATATCACGAATATCAAGAACGCTATTAATTGCTTGGGGCTAAAATAAGAAAGATTCCAAAATTTTTGATCACCTGCTGTCTGAAACTAAGCAATGCTTTGACCCCTGAGAGAAAACTGAGATAATTGATCAATTGTACAAAATGTCTCGAGTTAGATTCGCATTCAGGCGGAGTGTTTCAACGTATTTTTCCATTCAATTCGGTTGACTTAATGATTTATGATTTATTCTCGCAATATTCACTTTCCTAAAGAAATATGATCGAACATTGTTTCAGTGTTCAGGAAAACTGGTCTGAATATTTTCAATTTAAAGACAAAAATTGACGAGAGATTGAACTCACACTATAATTTAACCTTATTTTAGCAATCGAAATTTAATTTAACGTCATTTTAGTGATGCCACTTCGCATTGTTGCAAATATTCATCTAATCAGTCGCCCTTTTCTAAACAAATAACCAGAATTTAAAACACTAAAAAAAGTTTTGTAACAAAATTTGATTTTTTGTTTTTTACACGAGCGTAGCGTAGCGTGATAGTACGATGCAGTTTTTTTCCAACCTGAGTCGCGAATAAAAGTGCTTCTTTTAGTGGCACTTGTCAATCAGTAAAGCTGCTTTAGCATCATAATAGCATGTGCTTTGTCATTTGATCTGTAATAAGTTAACACAGTTGATGCTTTTTAATTGAGGCTATTTGTTTCATACAACAGAATAACAATTAAAATCTCATTACAGAAATTTTCCAACTCAATGTATTTCGCGAGATTTTTGAATTGCATAATTTATGTGGAATTTGCTTTTAAAGTCTCATTTGTTATATACCTGGTGGCAGCTTATTACATCCCAAATTATTACATGCAAAATTTGATTATTTGTGCTTTTTAAAGATTTTGCGAATCCAAATCTTTGCCACTTTCTCGCTCGTGTTTGCGAAGCTGCAGCTTCGGTCTGTGTATTTACGCTGTAAAAGCTGATAAATTCTGTATCTGGGATTCTAGCCATTTCGTGTTTAAAAGTAATGAACGTAGTGAAGATTCTTATATAGGTCTTGCTGATTTTTTGTTAGTTTTATTTTCAGGAAAAAGTCGTAAAATGTGCATAAAAGTCTCTAATAACTACAGATGTGCATTCATACATATTGTTGCATTTATGAATGCACTTGGGTATATATGCTTTTTTTAAGTTCAATTGAAATTCATCTACTGAAAGTGACATAAATAGCACTCTCCAAATACGAATGTGGAAAAGGTTCCAAAAAAAACGTGAACGATTTCTAGTTTCGAAAGTGTAGTTTAATTTTACCTTTTGATCGAGTTTACTCCAGTTATATTAATGTTATCAGTCAGGAATTCAAAGAGCGTAAAGAGAATCTATTTTTTCTCTTTGAAATTCGAAAGCTGAGATTTTTGACAAATTCAGTGTTTTTTTTCTGTTTACTTGCGTTCATTGCGCTCTTCCAATCTTCGATTGGCCATTTTATTAATTTTAAAGTCTTTGGAAAGTTTTTCAAGTTGAAGGATTTCTGCTCAGGGTTTTTCGGCTTTGTAATCGCGCGTCAACTTGTCATCCGATGCTATTTTCACATTCTAGTGTCTTGGCATGTTATCTAATCAAAGCTACTTTTTTCAGTGGGTTAGATCTAGTTTTTTTACCTTCTTTTTTCTATCTCTTGGGTTGCTCAGCTTCGCCTGTGCATGAATGCGTGTTTAATCCATACTTTATTAAACTGGCGTTTCAGTTTACTCATATTAAACAGTTTCCCTAGTTGGCGTTCAAAAATGCCAATATATTGCAACGTTTTAAAGGTTTACGGAATTCAAAGTTTCTTACGCTTGCGAGCAGCTAGTGTTTCAGCACGAACCTTTAAGCAAGTGCGTTTTCCAATCAAATAACGTACATAGGAACATTACAAGATTTTTTTTTAAATTCTACTTTTCCGGTATTATGGCTGAATCATTTGATATGGCGTTGTTTGAAAGGAAAATATAGTTTTGATTTTTTTGGTATAGGGGGAATATAATTGTCAGCTTTTAAAACAAAGCACTAAGTTTATCATGAAAACAATTTTTTTTCGAGCCAATTGGTGTTTACCCGTGTTTTGTCTGCTCAGTTGCCGCTGAATATATATTGTTTTGATTGTTTGGTCAGTGTAAAAGCAAGATTCTTTAGAATGTTAATTATTCAAGATAGATGACTTTTTGTTTTTTTTTCCAGGAAATTAAAATGCTCTATTAACTTCAGAAGTTCATGCATACAAGTTAATGCAATTTTAAATGATTTTAGGTATATTTGCACTTTTTGAGTTCAATGCAAAATCATCTGCTAAAAATAAGTAAATTGCGCTCTCCAATAACGAAAGCGAAAATGGTGCAAAAAAAACGTGAAGACTTCTAGTTTCGAAAGGGCATTTTAATGTTTAGATTTACCTGCGGAACCAAAATTTTACCAGTTGATTTAACTTTACCAGTTGATATACTCTAAATAGGATAACTTAACAAAAAAACTGACAATCATAAACAGTCTTTGAAACTCAAAGAGCTTCAACGTGATTACCGTTTTCTTCGAAACTTTTCAATCTTTTTTCTTCGATATCCATGTTCTTTTGTACTCCTCCAACCTTCTGTTAGCTGTGCTTTAATGCTGGCGCCCAAGAGGGGTGATCAGGGTGGTACAGATTTTGAGTTCTGAATTTATTAGCTCAGTTTTCACGTGGCAACAAAGATGTTTTCGGCTCAAGTGTCGGCACAGCATTATTGGCTCAGTTTTTGTTTAATTTTTGGAACGCTACTTTTACGCTGACGGTTGTGTTTCTCAACTTCTTTGTATTCTTCTAATTGAATATATTTCAATGCAAATCAATGATTTTTTTTCGTACATGTAGTTTTTCCCACATGAAGAAAAATAAAAGTTGTTGAACGTTGTTCAGACTCTTTGGTGCTGAAGATTTAGTTTTTTTTTCTCAGGAAAAGTCTTAAAACTTGTTCAGGCTCAAATTTATTTTTCTTGGTTTGACTCGTGCTTTCCTTTTAATTTTAAGTTCAGTTCATTTCTTGTATAAAAAGGAAGGCGAGTGCCACTATTGAACCGCAAAGATGTATAGTTCATGAAAAACGTGATCGGCTTCTAGTTTCGAGAGTGGAATCAAATTATTTTCAGATTTCCTAGTGGAATAAAAAAAAATGTGCCTACTTATTGATCCAGTGTTCTCAAATTGGGTTAGTTTAATTCAAAAAAGTGTCAGTCGTAAGTGTCAATTGAGAGGTTTTTCAAAAAAAAAAGTTTTATTTTTATTGTTTGCTTGCGTTCATTGATTAGTTTCACACTGTCCGTTTGCTATGTTTTACTTACGTAATGAGTTCCTTCGCAATTTCTGTCTGCTAGATTGCACTGCTATGTTTGTGTGCTGCTGGGGTTGCGAAGCTCGTCTTCGCTGCGTTGTTTAAAATATTTTCTTCGTTTTAAAATTTCTTGTCTCCAATCAGTGTGGTCGGAACATTGTGCTACATGCACGTCGATGTTTGGGATTTTATCGCAGGGAATTTCGTACGAGGTCCCTGTTTTTGTAACCTTTGTCAGTCAAACGAAATAAATATTTGATACTATTTGACTAAATACAGCCGTGTAGTTCTTAGTCGTCATCAGCATTTTTTATGTACTTTTCTCGGCCTATTTTAGAAAGGTAGAAAAATAGCATAGAGAATAGCCTTTTTAGCAGCATGGATGAGAACAAAGTGATGTTGAAACCGCATGACGAGAGCGACATGGTAAGCGAAGCAGAAGAGCAGCTGCTGCAACAGGCCGAGACGAAGCCAAAGAAGCAACCGGGAAGTTTCCGCAAACGAGTGGACTCGGCCAGCAGCCGCATCAGACAAGGCAGCTTTGTGTCGCTCATTGGAGAAGAGAGAACCGGAGACAACTTGATCACAGCTCCTCAGTGTCTCATGCATCTCCTAAAGGTCAGACTTTTGATACCGGTAATAACAGCGTAGTTGAATCCCCCGTGGCAGAAGGGCCAATTGGCAGACAGTGTCCAGCCAATAAATAGACTTGAAGCTGTTCAAAGCACTGTCTGAATTGTCACGTTTCCTATTTTGAGTCATGAAATCTGATTGGCTAATTTGATTTCCTGTCATTCGGCCCTTCTGCCATGAATGAATCCCCTTTTGATCCAGTTTTCTCAAATTGGGATAATTTTATCAAAAAGCCTCAGTCAATAGACTGTTCGTGAAATTCAAAGAGCTATAAGGGCATATATTTTTTCTTTAAAATTCAAAATTTGAAGTTTTTCAAAAATCAACTCAATGGTATTTTTGTTTCCTTTCGTTCGTTACTGTTTTTTTTTTCAACTGTCAGTTGGCTATGTCTTTTTCTTTCAATCTAGGGTATGATTGGGAGTGGTTTGCTTGCCCTGCCCCACGCCTTCTCTCTCGTGGGTATAGTGGCGGGACCCATCTACATGGCAGTGATCTGTGTGATAGCTCTGGTGGCCATGAACTTCCTAGTGGATGCGAATAGACACCTCTGCAAAGTGGAGAGAGTGTCACATATGGACTATGGCGACTTAGCCGAATGCGCCATAAGGCATGGACCAATTCAGGTCAGTTATTGACCATGTGTTCAGGCGGCCTGCTTTTTTTGCAAGCTGAACTCTTCTTCAATAACCAATATCGAAACGGCGCTAAAAATCAAGTTTCATTCAACGTTAAAACAGTGGATGTAAGTAAATGTAAAATAAAATGACATTTTTTTTTAGGTCGCATCGGTTTTTTCGGTTGCTTATGTTTTTTTATCGTGCTCATATTCAATTTTTCGCGGTTTGACCTTAAGATCAATTCAAACTCTATTCGAAAAGAAAGGTGAATTGTGCTTTTCAATTACAAAAATGCTTGTATTATCAACTATATGGAGAAATAAATTTTTCTTGTGCTTCTAAAATGGAAATAGTGCGAGGAAGCGTAAATGACTTTGTTTCCAAAATGGATTTTATATTTAAGAGTTGCCTGCGGATCATAAAATAGCCTATTGATGTAGAATTCTTAATTTGGGTTATTTCAATGAAAAAATTGCCTTTCATAAACGATTCTGGAGATTAAAGAGCTTCATTGAAGAGCTTCACTGTGTGATGTTTTGTTCTTCGAAAGTTGAAAAATGCTTCAAAAAGTTGTCTTTTTATTGTTTCCTTTAGTTCATAGAACTTTTTCCTACTTTCTGTTGACTATGCTCATAGCATTGCTCTTAATTCTTATGGGATCAATTAGCATTTCAAATGGGATGGATGTTGGCAAAAACTTGCTAATAATTTATACTATTTCCTCGAAGTTGGTCGAACATCTGATATGTTGCAAAATTTGAAGTTCAAAATGAGATGTTCATTTTTGTTGGTGCTCATAGCGCATTACCCTTGCGATCACCAAGGGTATTGCAATCGGGCTCTCAACTTTTTTCCCGCAAACAAGTTTCACAGAATGGTAAAAATTAGAAATGGTAAATTTTTATTGATCGCATAATAAATTCAAATTGCTTTGAGTCTCCGGCACACTGAGTTTGGAGGTAACGAATATGCCTGGGACGGCAAAGGTCTTAGGTTCGAATCTAATGGGACCTGTTTTTTTTTCAGACATGAAATACTCCGTTTCAACAAAAATGTCTGCTTATTGTTTGCCTGCTTATGTCGGCTTAGGTTTTGTCGGCTTAGTTGCCACATCTTATAATTAGGAGTAATGAACGTAGTGAATACTCTTATATAGGTCATGCTGTTTTTTTGTTTTTTTTCAGGAAAAAGTCTTAATATACTGATGCACTTAGGTAAATATGCACTTTTTGAGTTCAATTGAAATTGATCTGCTAAAAGTGACGTAAATAGCACTCTCCAAATACGAACGTGGAAATGGCGCGAAAAAACGTGAACGGTTTCTAGTTTCAAAAGTTGAATTCAATTTTTTAGATTTTCAGCGGAATAAAAACTATACCTATTGATCCAGTTTTCTCAAGTTGGCTTAATGTTCTCAAAAAAGCGCCAATCATAGATTGTTCTTGAAATTCAAACAACGTGAAGGGCATCTATTTTTTCCCTTGAAATTCGAAAGTTGAGATTTTTAAAATAAAGTCAGTGTTTTTTTATGTTTACTTGCGTTCAATAATCTTTTACAATCTTCGATTGGCTATGTTTTTTTTCTGTACGCAATTGTAGTTGCTTTTAATGTTTTTATTTAATTTTGCTGTTAATTTCACTAGCGGTGACTTCGTACATTTTATTTTTTTTTTCAATTTGCTTAAAATTTTATTTGCTTGAAAACATCTGCTCTTTTTTTTCATGCTAATTAATATCGGTTTAGTGACCTAATTTTTAGTCGTTTCAAGGGAAACTTAATTTTCATACTAACCTCTGAATCGCAAAAAAAATCCGATTTAAAATGATTTTTTTTTCGGCTGAATGATTTCGTCCAAACTTTTGTCGGCTTACTGGCCGGTTGTTTTAGTTCTCTAGTTTTTTGGCAGGTTTTCTAGGTACGTTTTTCCTAATATTCTAGAGGATCAATTTATTTTATGGTTTTTATACTCGCCAATATTTTCTGTTAGAAAAGAAAACTTTTTTGAAATAAAAAAAATTGCATTCAGTTTTCAGTTTTTTGGATGCAATGTCCCAAATTTAATTTTTAATCTAAAAGTGCGTAGATTTAGTTTTACTTTTAATTTAAATATTTGTTTAAGGATTGATCAGTGTGAAATCGATTGAAATTGATGGCTAAGCCTAATGTTTTTTTTTAATTGCCAAAAATTTTTCGAAAAAAATTTATGAATTTCAAGTTTCAGTTGAAAATTTGGGGGAAAATGAATTCGTGTTTGTTTTCATTTCCTCCGCGGGCTTTTTTTTTCACGTGTAACGAGCATAGTTTTAGTGATTTTTTTTCCAGGAAAATTTAACTTGTTCATGCTCATTTTTGATTTTTCGCGGTTTGACTTTTTTTTTTTAAAGGTCGTTTCATTTACTTTCTAGAGTGGAATTAAAATTTAGGTCGAAGGAAGCTTTTAATTAATTTCAAGAGTGGAATTAAAATTTCAGATTTTCCAGCGCATGTAAAAAAATTAATCTATTGATTCAGTTTTCTCAAATTGAATTAATATTATCAAAAAAAGCCACAGTCATTAATTGTTTGTAATATTCTAAGAGTTTTAGGGGCATGTATTTTTTCTTTAAAATTCAAAAGTTGAAGTTTTTTTTTTAAGTTTTTTTGTTTCCTTGGGGTCATTACTAACTTACCAATTGTCAGGTGGTTATTTTTGTTGTGATCTAGCTCTCTTAACTTTGCCTATGAAGTTCGTATTTGACACAGAGGCGAAGCTAGCGATTAAAAATTGAGACGGAAATTTAAAAAAATTAAAAGAATAACCGTCAGTATTGAATTAGCTTTTAGTTTTTACCGAGCGGCTGCTAAGCCGATAATAAATGGGACGCGCATGGAGTAGAAAAAAAAACATTGTCATAAGAAGTTCTTATAAAAAATTTCGAGCAATTAATTTTTCACAATTTTGATTTCTTGCAACACAATCTACCTGACTTTTTTTAATTTAAAAAAACAATAGTTTTGTATTCTGAAAGTGTCAGAAAAAAATAACAAAGCTGATAAAACATAATCTGAATCCATTTAGGTCGAATAAAGCTATTAAGCCAGTGCTCTTAATTTAACAAATTACTTCAGTGAATCATAAACAATTGCGTCTATGATGAAAATTGCTTTGCTGGTAGCACAAAAAAATCCCCGATCAAGGTTCACAAAAAAGCAAGTTTTTGAAAATTATGAAACAAACCGCTAATTTTTTATTTTAAGTTGTGCGAAACTCATACTTCTGCAGTTGTGCTGAAAAATTCTTTAAATTTAAATTGTTTAAGGTGATGTTTTCCTATGAAACTTGGAAGATTGAAAAAAAAACTGTCGTTTTTTTGTTTTTATTTTATTTCATCTACACTTTTTGAGCGGTATTTTGGTTGTTTTTAATTACGAGTTTTTAATCTTATCTAGGTCTTGATTAGTTTTTTTTTTTTCAGAAGTAGTCCTAAATTTTAATCACGCTCAATTTTTTTTTTGCGGTTTGTGACCTTTGATTTTTTTCAGTTCATTTCTTCTTACCCTTGCGATAAGCAAGGTTATTGCAAGGGAGTACTAGAACTTTTCCCGTAAATAACATTGTTGACAGGATCTCCAATTTTATGATCTCTGTTTCCTATATTGCCAAGTTGCCGGTCAGCAAAATTTTGCCAAGTTGAATTGTTAACAGCTGGTCTTGAGCTACTGGAGTGATACTGGGTCTACAGTTGAAACAGTTTTCAAAAATAACATGACTTTTTTGTCGGCTATTCTGATTTCGTCTCAATTTTTATCGGCTTTCTAGCTGGATGTTTTTTTCTGAATTAATCCGGAAAATATTGTTTTTTTTTCTTTTTACCGTTTTGTCAGCATAAGAATGTAGCGAGTGTCGCTCGACATTCACGGGAGTCTGGTTTTTTCTGGCTAATTGTTTTAGGAAAAAATGAATTTTGTGTTTCTTTCTTTATTTCCTTCACATGCGTCTTTTTATTATGTTCTTTTTGGTGTGATCCAGTTATCTTAAAGTTGCGTACCATTTTCATTTTCGATGTCATTGGGTTATTTTAAAGGCTCTCAGAGTTTGTTTTTCAAATTTTCTGCAAGTTCTTTTTTTGTGACAATCCAAGCTCTTTTTTTGTGGCAATTGTTTGAAGTTTTGCATTCATTTGTTTTGTAATTTTGTTGTCTTTTTTTTCATTCTGATCTTAATTAACAGTAATTTACGGAAAGGGTCTTTTCTTATCCCCAATTGTTTCTGTAGAATATGGAGGGTGGTTGGCTGCAAAGTTATAAGCAACGTTTTTTGAGTTCAGGAACTTTTGTATCTTGTTTTTTTATCAAAGTTTTTTTTATCGTTTCCATTTACTGGCGATGCGATGAGACGTGTAGCCTGAATCCTTTTTTATGTGTTTACACTTGCGATCAGCAAGCGTTATAAAATCGCAATAAGTACTTTTTTCGGGTTAAAAACTAGTTTAACAAAATATTTCAATGACTTGATGCTTCTATGCAGCTGACATGCTCAATTTCATGAAAAATCAATTTTAACTACTATGTGGGTACTAGTTACTACTGTTGTATGCTAAAACTAGAATTAAAACCTTTGTGCTTATAACAAGAGAGTTTCGATACTAATTTTGGGCTAATGGTTTTTCGGATTCATGGTTATCGACGAAGCTCTGTCGGTTTAATTTCCGAATTATGAAGTCCACTTTGCTCATGCTATTCCAAAATGATTTTGGTGAAAATTTATTTGACGAAAGAGTTTCAGCTGTTTGCTTTATTTCAGTTGCCTCTTTAATCGAATTTCTTCCCTAAAATATGCGGCAGTACTTTTGATATCGATAAGACTCTGTTAGCAATTTTTGAATGCGCATATTCAACCTACTAGGACCTCTTGGAAAAACTTGGAATGTATTATTTTTTTGCTTCTCCACCTCCTGCGTCAATTATAACCTTAATCGAAGTTCTGTTTGCTTGTTTTGGAGCGTCATGTTGCTTTAATCCTATAATTGTTGCAAGTGGTGCAAAGCTCAGCTTCGCCTCTGTGTCCATTGTTAAAAGGAAGGCAAACTCCACTAACGAACAGCAAAAGCGTAATAGTCACCAGAACGTGATCGACTTCTAGTTTTGAAAGTGAATTTTATTTTTCAGCCCAAAAAACATTTAGCCATGGATCCATAATTGTCAAATTGGGTTAATTCTGTCAAAAATTGCCAATCATTCAAAAAGAAGAAATTCAAAAAGCTTCAAGGTCATAGTTTTTTTATTTTGAAAGTAGGAGTGTTTTCAAAAAATGAGTCGGTTTTTATTGTCGAGGTAAATCAAACTTTGGATTTAGAGTTTTTTGTCTTCGCCATCTAAGCAAGAGCCTACTGAGGTCGTATGAGTTTTCAAAATACTAATCTTCGAAATGCTATCAGCGTTTAAAAATATCTATTTACATTCTTACTCGTAAATTCTAAGATAATTGGTTTTTTAAAAGTGAAATGTTTTTTTGTTGATCTTGTGGACTAAGCTAAAAAAAGTTTTGTGCTACAAATTTGCACTGCAGCTGGTATCTTCCGTTGTGTATTGGCTGAATATTTTTCTTAACTGTTTTCAGCGTCTACGTCGTCACAGCCACTGGGGTAAGGCAATAGTGAACTTCCTGTTGATTCTGACCCAGCTGGGCTTCTGTGCAATCTATTTCGTCTTCTTCGCCGAAACTGTTCAATCTATCATGGACGACTACGATGCTCACAAACATATAGATGTCCACATCCTCATCACCTGCTTCCTATTACCCGTCGTTCTCATCTGCCTCATTAGAAACCTGGGTTAGTGAACAAGCGTTGCCGTTGTTATAATACTGCTGAAGTTGCACATTTTGATTTTTTTCAATTCAAATTCATTAGGTTGAAGGGAGTTGAAATGTGCTCTCCTGGATCAAATCGGAAACGGCGTGAAGAGAAAAACCTGAATATCCAATAGATCCGAAAGTGATTTTAAATTATTAGATTTTCTAGCTGAACAAAACATTATTTATTGATCCAGTTATCTCAAATTGGAATAGTTTTGTCATGCTTTCCAAAATGTTGACTATATAACTTTCGCATTTAATTTGGAAAAGCAGCGACAAAATAATCGTACCCATTGCACATTAAGTAAATATGAACAATTGATTTTTTCATTGAAAAGATTTGTTTTTTTTTCGCGGTTTTTCATATTAAAATGCGAAGTTATGAACGGCTGGAAAATTTTGTGCATCTGGTACCATGGTTGCAATGCTTAAAACTTGCATTGTTTAAAACTCGTTTAACACAGTGTTTAAAACACTGAATAATTTAGTGTTTAAAACAACTTCACCTGATTGGTAGATTTTCTTGTGTGCTTTGACTAACTGAACTGCATTCGTGGAAAAATCTCATCGATGGATTTCGTAAACGAGGTATCGAACGACGCGAATGGGTAGAAAGTGCCGAAAAACGGTAAAAAGTAGTATATTCTGGATTCTTGATTTGGTACGTTTTTTTTTGGCGTCGATCCTACTGAAAGTGAAATCAAAGAGCACTCAACTGGGAAAAGAGCGGCGCACAGACTGCATATAATCTCATTGTTTTTTTGTTTACACAAGCAAAGCTTGTGTTATAGTATGAACTATTTTTTGCCGAAACGCAAATGTTTCGACGCAAATATTGTTGCGATAAAATGTGTTCATTTTGATCAATAACCAGCTATTAAGTACAGCCAATGTTAAGGATATTAACACAGATTATTGTATTACAACTAGCACTTAAGCTTCAAGGTATCATGGATCTGTAGTGTAGAGGTAGGGAAGGAGACCCGCAACAAGGTAATATGGTTCGAATCGGGGCAGGGTAGGATGTTCTAACGAACTTTTTCGTATACTAGTTAAAATGCATCCGCTCTTTAAAATGAGGCATGTTAGTTGGTTAATTTTTTTTTCAAATTGAATGGTACTGCTAATGTGTCATAATTGGCCTGCCTTACTTCGCAATTATGTAGACTCATAACTGGCGTGCGTCACTTAAAACATTGTGTAGACTCAATGTTTTACTCTTTCAGTATTTCCCAGTAGCGTTATCGGTATTGCTTGTGTTATAGTTTTGCTTGTGTGCGAAGTGTAACTTCGCCTCTGTGTAACTTTTTTTTAGCGCGACAACTTTTTAACTGTCTAATGGGTACGTTTTTCAACACCCTCCCTCTTGAAGATAATCTTTTCCCGGGAGCTGGTGGTAAAAAATGTAGCCAGCAGACAGTTGGAAAATTGTCAATTTGACCAAACGCTTTGACTGCTTTTTTGAGAATTTTTCAACCTGATTTCAATTTTTTTTACCAGGTGAAGCTTAACTGTTTTCAATACTGTTTTTTACTCTAGCGTCATCTTAGTGAATTATTAAGAACCTTCTTTTTTCTAATCTCAGTCGCAAATATTATTGCCACGCAAATAATATTATTTTTGGGACACAGTTGGTTTAGTTAACACTAATTAGTTAACACAAATTGGCCTCTTTGTTAAAACATGTTTAAAACAATTTTTTTACTCGAAACGTGTTTTTTGCAACCGTGTCTGGTACTGTAATTATTCTTGTTGCTTTGACTTATTGCTGCTCTGGTGAGTGCAGTCAATCACTGATAAAAAAAGCTAGTATGCCTGTTTTAGCGCTACTGGCAGTGTTCTCACTACTAGCAAATGTTCTTCTGTTCGGAGGTTTGGCTGTGATCGTGTATGAATTGTTCGATGATATTCCCAGTCCATCCGAACTGCCAGCCTTCGAGTCTATCACAAACATACCGCTCTTCTTCGGCACAGCTATCTACTGCGTCGAAGGCATAGGTCTGGTGCTACCACTGGAAAACAAAATGCGAAAACCAGAACAGTTCAAACCAGTGTTCAACGCAGGAATGGTGTTCGTATTTCTACTGTACCTATTGTTCGGTTTCCTGGGATACAATAAGTTTCACGAGGACATACAAGGCTCTATTTCATACAACTTGCCTAAAGAGTGGTACTTTGCAGCCACCAAAGTAGTGTTCGCTATAGCAATGTACGTCACATATGCTCTTCAGTTTGTAGTTCCTGTGAGGATTCTAATGCCGTGGGTAAACACGAAGTTCCCTTATGGATCCGAAGATATTCGGGAATATTTGTTCAGACTGGTTCTAATTATGTTCACGTTTATTGCCGCAATAGCTATTCCGTACTTAGACAAAGTCATTAACTTGCTAGGGTCAGTTGCGAGTTCGAGCCTGGCTCTTTCTCTTCCGGCGATAATCATGGAGTTATCATTGCACACCAACACCTCCATTTCCAAGACTAGGAAGTTCGTTTACAGAGTATTGGTGGTGATCTTGGTTGTCGTTGGGGTCACAGGGGGTATCGTTGGGACAGTGATGTCTTTTGAAGATATTATCAAGGCGTTCACAGCTGCCGATTCAACCCATCTAATCAACCCAACCACCATTGCTCCAAATACGACAATGAACCTTGCAGATTACATTTTGAATGTCGGCTCACAGGAGTAAAGCTACCAAATACTTTTCTTAATGAATGAGCTTCCTGTGTTAAATGGAAAATGCTTGTCCAGATTAAGGGCAATTAAACATTCATGCAGGTTTGTTATGAATGTTAATGTAAATTAAACTCGCTTTATTAGAATTTCGCTGAATGAAGCCCATTATTGAGGCTTATTGGTTCACTTCTATGAAAGTAGCTTCTATTTTAGTTTTACTTTGGTCAGATGCCGGTGCTAACTAATTAATTCTGTGGCTTTTTCATTGATATTTTTTATTCTTTTGTCGATTTGTTCATATAATTATGTGTATATTTGATTTTGCCGAACTCAATAAAGTTTATGATGTGTGTTTTAATTAATAATAAGTGCTTAGGTACATTAAATATAAAATTCTTTGCGAAAGAAATTCATATTTTTTGCAGCATTCGCCATCTTTGGCTGGTATCGGTAGTCCTTAGCTAGAAACGTAGTCCTGGAAAATCTCAAAGCCTTTTATATTGTTGCAGTTAAACTTTTAAATTTTCTAAATGCATATCAAAACTTGCCTTGATTGCGCCAGATGTTCGAAGTTCACCGGCTCTCAAGCTTATTTTTACCCTTGTGACAAGCAAGGATATTGCAATCGGGCACAAGGCATTTTTCCCGTTAAAAAACCGGTTTCACTCCAAGACCTATCTACCAATCTCTGTTGGAAATTCTTCAACAGACATTTGAGCATGTTAGCATTTTAAATATCTGTTCGAAAATGAGTTTTAATTTTCAGTGTTTTCTTGGTTTCGGCTTAATTGCTTTAGGCCTATATTATATCGACTCACTGGCCTCATTGCGTCGTAGGATGAGCGAAAAAGTTCGGTGTGCGTTTGTGTGTTTTTGAGTAGGAATGGAACATCAATTTTTTTTGTTAGTTTTAGTCTTAGGAAATTTTTCAAATTGAAGGTTTTCTGCTCAGGGTTTTTGTTCCGACTTTCGATATGAAAGTAACGGAATATTTGTGCTCGGGGTGGGTTTTTTTTTCTTCAGACAAATTTCGACTTTTTAACTAGCCATTTTTGATGGAATTTTTTTATATCAATCGAAAGCTATTGTTGTCTTGAGCTTAAATTTGAAAAGATATTTCACCTGTGATCATTTTTCGTAAAGTTATGAGGGTTTAAAGATTGCCATTTTGACCAATTTGGGACAATTAACGCGCGATATAATTCGCGCCATTAACGAGTAAGCGGAGATTTAATCCGTCTTTGAAATCGTTCCAAATTGGTTGAAAGAAGCCTATTTGCCATAATTGATTTGTTACAAGGAGCCAAATCTATTGTTTTGTACTTTATATGGCGTGTGGGGGATGATTTTCATCGAAAAATTTTCAAATTTTAGAAAAAAAAGTTTTTCATTTATTTTATTTCATTTAATTTTTTATGTTGTTTATGTTATTACCGCTCCATAAACGGTAGAAGGCAGTCGGAACTTTCAGGGCTTCGCCCTGATACGAGCAGTCTTGTTCTGCTTTGTAGCCGCGTGGTAACTTGTCATCCGATGCTAGTTTCACATTCTTATGTCTTGGCATGTTATCTTTTCAAAACTACTATTTTCAGTTAGTTAGCTCCTGTTTCTGGATTTTTTGGAATTTCATTTTTCTACCTCATGTGGTGCACAGCTTCGCCTCTGCGTGAATACGTGTTTAATCTAAACTTTATTAAACTGGCGTTTCAGTTCACTCATATTAAAGAGTTTCCCATGTTGGCGTTCAAAAATGCCAATATATTGCAATGTTTTAAAGGTTTACGGAAATGAACATATTTTACGCTAGCGAGCAGCTAGTGTTTTAGCACGAATCTTCTTTTTTTTCCAAACGAACACGCAAATAAAAGTGTTAATTAAAACTGTTTACTACTGCTCTTTTTTTGCTAAAATCACGAACTGTAGCATTGGAATTTTCAAAGCATCTGTCCTCGGCTTGATTTGTGGCTAGTGTTTGTGATGGACTACACGTCCGTGGCTAAGTGGTTAGTGCGTGAAACTCAAAATGTCAAGGTCGCAGTAGGTTGGAGTCCGAGACTTCGCCGAGTTTTCACTAATTAGAGGCTTATTTTTACTTTTCTTATTGCACTTTTTAGAACTCTAGAGCTAGCGCAGCTTCGCATCTGTGTAAATTTTAGTGGATAAGTGAAGTTAATGTAAGTGTTCCGTCGCAAATCAGGGTAAAAAGGTGATTTTTAAAAACAAACAATTCTTCTCTTCGATAATTATATAGTGAGCATTGTGGAAACTGGGAAATGAGAGGAGAGAAGGTATGCGTTATGGTGATGTGGTGGATGAATTATTCGTGCAGGTTTTTTATAATCATCATGTGTCGTGTGCTAATAATGGTGTTTTTCTTACTCTAATTTCTTGGGTCTCAATAGATCCTAAAGAAGTACCAGAAAACAATCAGTGTTGAAGATTTCTTTATTCTATCTTTTCTCAAATTGATCTGACGACAAGTTAGACATGTTTTCAATAAGTAATGTAGTCGTTAGTTATGGAAGATATTGGTTAGTTTTAAAGAACTTGCACTCATATTTAAAATTTTCTTAGCGATAATAGAAATGAAATTCGAAGGGGTCGCACCTGCTGAGTAAGCTAACATGCAAATCGGTCCGTGAAGGAAAAAACATGTCTTTTTCTTCAACTTCGCTACTGTTCCTTCTAGTGAAAGTTGTGGGACCCTTGATTTTGGTGTACTCGACTATGCATACTTGCGGTTTTATGTGCTCTTTTGTTTTTGAGATATTTTGAGCGTGTGTGTGACAAATGGCGTCAGCAGCGTTGGACGTAATGGTTAACTGCACTGTGTGTATCGTGACGTGTGATGGCAGGACCATTCTGGGAACTCTGAGTGGGTTTGACCAGACCATCAATCTCATCCTGAAACAGTGCAGAGAACGAGTATTCAGTCCAGACGCTGGAGTCGAGGAGGTCGAATTAGGTAAAGACGAGTTGGATTGATGATCAAAATGATCATCATGTTATTACAGGGTTGGCTTGTTAATCACCACCATGTTAATTAAGTGATACCAACTCATGAAAGTTTAAATTGCAACTTATTTTTAGAACGTTTTTAATACAAACTAAATTATCCCGATGAAATGCACAAAACTGGAAACAGTTGCCGCATTTCACTCCAATGGGTTGGTTCTAGAAAAACAACTCTTGCTTCGAAATTTACAGGATTGATATCTGTGGCAGATTTGGGGTGTGGGGAGGGGGTGGGGCGGACGACCTTCCCTCAGGAGTTCAACCCACTGCCGACCCAAAGGGTCCCCTTTGTACTATTTTGAGATATCGATTTTTTTTGACGGACCCTAAAATTTTTCTAAAGGCGCGTTTGGTGCCATTATCTACTTATTTTGAGGGGGGAGCAAAAAGTGCCTATTAACACCTTTTTTGGCCTGTTTTTTTAAAAAAACTTTGCCTGCGGCGCAGAAAAATTGACAAAAACAGAGTCTTTTTAAGACAGAGTGCTTTAAAAGACGACAAAATTTTCGAAAATTCTAGATCTGCCCGTGATTGATATAATTTGAAATGTGGATCAATTTTTAGAGATCAGGTTTTTTTGTTTGCGTTCGTTGACACTTCTCCGACTGTATGTTGTCTAAGTTTGAACCATTGAACTAAGTGTGTAGTTAATGTTTAGGCTTGTACATTGTGCGGGGTGACAACGTGGCGGTGATTGGAGAAATAGACGATGAGATTGATCAAAGCTTAGCACTGGCCGACATAAAAGCACAGCCTCTCAATCCTGTCGTGCATTAAGGCCGAGTCTGTTGATGCTGCAGATGTGGTACCTTTACCAGAGCAGATTAGATTGATTGATTCCTTATAAAACCATAGGAACCCGCGGTACTTTAGTTTACTCGTTCCGCTGTAAATAATTTTTAAATGGCCGCACTCATAACTAAAGGGGAGATTCTAGCTATAGCCAATCAGGTGCGAGTAAAAGCAATCTGTTTTCAATCGCAATAATCAAAAACCTAAAAAATTGTTTTTCACAAGGAATCTTTAAACACTCTAATTGTTAGTGCAGGTGAACTTAGCAATCATACATGAAATGGATTCAACCAGGGACGGATTTAGGGGGGGTGGGGGGGGGGGGGGGGGGGTAGACGCTCCCCTCTCAGGGATTGGACCCCCTGCCGACTCAAAAGGTCTCCCCTTTGAACTGTTTTGAGATATCCATTTTTGGCTGACGTACCCTAATTTTTTTCTAAAAGCGCCTTAGGCGCCAATATACTAGTTTTAAGGTGAGAGCGCGCGCCGAACAAACACGATTTTTTTGGTCAAAAACTAAAAACGCCTTTTTGGCCTGCTTTTTTTTAAACAGGGTCGTTTAGTGATTTGGGAGAGCTCGGAAAATCAATTTGGCCTGTCTAAAAAAGGGTCGACAAAATTTTCGAAATTTTTTTTTGAAAATCCGCCACCTCTCCTCAAGAAAATCCTAGATCCGCCCCTGGATTCAACCGTAAAATATCCAACACCTATAAAACTACAAATTTATTTCGATTCCTGTATAATTTCATCTAATGAATTTTTGGCAGAGATAAAATCATTTAGGGTGGGAAATGTTCAGGATCAAGTTAACATCCTCCTCTCCCCTCCCCCCCACCCCACAGATAGAACAAGTTAAAGTTAACAAGTTAAGATCTTCCACCCCAGCATTTACTTTAGCGCTGAATGTATAATGCTCGATTCTGATTGGCTGAAAATTCCCAACTTATAACCAAGTTAACATCATCCCCCCTCCCCAACGGCTTGGGGGGGGGGGGGGGGGGGATATTAACTTGATCCAATGTGGATCAATCAAGAACCAAGTTAACATCCTACCCCCAAACGGCTTTGAGGGGGAGGATGTTAAGTTGGTCCTTTGTTCAATTCCTACGTAAATGGTTTTTATATTTTGCTAAAATCATCAGAACCATTTTTTGTGTCCCCGGTTGCTGTGTAATACTAGGGAGAAATCAATCGAATTTGTAACCCAGATTTTGCACAATGGACTTCGATTCGATGATCTTTTGTTCGACCGCGTGATTCGGAGTGGAGCTGCTGTATGCCGAACTAAAAACTGTTACGTTGTAAAACTGATCTATCTTTTTTTTGTTTTTTATTTTGATGAATATGTTGGAATTTAATTAATTATTGTTTTCGTTTTCAAAAGTAGCCTTAAATCATGTCAACTGTTTTTAGCGTTGATTTCATTTTCCAAGGAGCTTAAATTGCAGTTTCTGAGAACGAAAGTATACAACTCAAAAATTGAGCCTGCTTTTTATTTTCTGAGTTACAAGTGAGATTACATATTTATCTGGTTTTCCTAAAATAGTTGTTTAAATTAAAAAGCTTTCACGATAGTTTCTTTATATGAAAAGAGCTCTACGGGTTATTAAATTATTCTTAAAAACGGTGGACAATTTTTCGATGTCTTTGAGTTCATTAACACCCTTCCTATTATTCTGACTGTTTACCCCAAACCATCAACAGATGCTTTATTACATACACTGTGTTTTAATGAGAAGCATTTTTTCTTCATTATGATGCTGAAATTATTTCTATAGAAATTATTGGGTTTTTTTCATGATGGAGGGAACGAATGATGGAAAGTTTTCAACTAATCAGAATCGTTAGACGTTCCCATTGGCTTACTGACTTTTGCAGAAAACCGAAGTCATTTTAAATTGAAAATGAGATATAGCAGTTAAGTTTTGGCGAAAAATTCGTGTAGATATAGAATAGAATAGATTTGTTTCAAATCGGTATTCTTGAAGTTATAGGTTTCTTACAATGCGTCTTCGATCTCCCGAAATTTGAAAACTCATGTATCTCCTTTTTTTCAAATCAGTTAGAACTAATTTTAACGGCCTGGGTTTGTTGTTCGCTTAGTTTGAGATTTTCGCAAATTGGCAATTTTTAAATTGGTCTGAGAATGCCTTCGAAAAAAAAGACCCTGAGCACAAATATTCCGACATTTTCTTTGTATGTCTGAACAAAAACCGTAATCTTTTAATCTCTCAGCTCCGAGCGAGTCAATCGAGGATAATTTTGAAGCAACGTGAACTGTGCTGAAATGGATGCAATTAGTTATAGCACACTGCAGTCCTGTCGAGGATAGTCCATTTGTATTATCTCCCCACATTCAAGACAGTGTTATTTTGCTGAGCGAAGCTGTTTTTTGCGACTCAAGGCCGTTTTTTTGCGTCTAGAACTTTTACGTGGTACCATTATTGCAGCCAAATTTGGTCAGGTTGTGGTAGACCTGAAGCTGGAGGTCAAGTGAGAGCTTGTCCTCACACACTATCATTGCCATGGCATGGGATCGAATACACGATCTGAAGATTTCAAAGTGAACGCCTTACCACAGTGCTAAGTGCTTGGGTTTCTGTCTGAAAAGAACAGCGTGAAATTTCAGTAAGAAGTTTTTTTCACAAGCAAAGGTTTTTTATCCTAACTTAATTTGAATAACAACAGTTAAGGCCATTTTTTCTTGACACTCAAACTTTTTCTCGATTCAGAAACGCGTGGCCCCGACCAGCTTGCCTTGAGGTAGTCATAATTAGCTTTGAAAAAGTTTTTAAAAACGGACCCAACGACATCATTCGATCCAACTCTTCGCATTGTTCATGCTCCGTGCTTTTAACGATGGTGCTTGCGGAGCTTGAGTGATTTGTCAATTAAGTAATTTAAAACTCGCAAGCTTCATTTCATTTTTTGTGCTAATGTTTTCTGCGTTATTAAGCTAGCAGTATGTGCTATATCTGATCAGTTAAGTGCATTTACGCTGCTGCCTGGGTAGTACTGCTAGAACAAGTATGAAACATAAAACAAACGGACCCTTTACTAATTTTTAGTTTGCGGGGAGAGCGCGCGGCGAAAAAACGCAATTTTTTGGTCAAAGTTTTCCAAATAGTGCCTAAAAACGCTTTTTTGGCCTGTTATTTGGCCAAACCAGGGTCTTTTTAGTGCACTGGGAGAGCTCAAAAATCAATTTTGACGAGCTAAAAAAAAAGTCAACAAAATATTTGAAAATCCGACCCCCCCCCCCCCATCGAAAATCCTAGATCCGCCCGTGCATGTACTTCAAAACGCTCTGAACTGAAGCCACCCTTGGCTTAACTCTTTTCCACTTTGTGCACTGGTCAAAAAAACTCGATTCAACAAAATCAATTACCTTTTTTTAACCGGCTATGATCTAATTTTAGTGATAATTTTGTCTAATTAAGTGGTCTTTTGGCATCATATGAACCACTACTCGCAACGGATTTTTAATTGAAGATTTTTCAAAAAGTCATAATTTATTTTACGAGACGCGCCCAAAACTTTTTCTCTACACGTAGTTAACCTTATCCAGGATACTCGAATTTTTGGTAAAAACTGGTAAGCAGCTAGAACAAAATCAATTTCGCAGCTAGAATATAAATCAATTTTCGAATAAAAATTTTGAATAAATTTTTATATCAATTCTCGACGTATATGACAAGACTTCGTTCGAATGAAAAGGTTTAGCTGTACATTCAAAATTATATTTCACTATACGTGACAGATGAAATTAATTGTCTGCTTCATAGTTATCGAAGTTATTGAAAATGCTCACGCAAAATTACTAAATTCAGAAGCTAAATTTCAGTACATAATTGCTTGTTGCTGCTCTAGCGATAGTAATTACTCCGTGTCCTTCTGGAAAAGGGACTATTCTTTTTTGATTTTAAAGCTTAGCGGCCAAAATGAACAGAACTTTCGGAGCCTTTTTTGAATGTGAGTTTTGGCGAGTCGTAAGCCCAAATGAGGTGAGCTCGCTTGCCGAAGTGCATTGAATTGGTGCGCTTCGCATGTTCATCGTAGTCGGCCGCTGTCCTTTCCATTAGAAATTCTGTCTGTTCTAAGTCCTGCTGTATTTGCGGTCGTTTGCCGAAGTGCATTTTGTCCACGCGCTTGAGTATAACAGGCGTGTCTATCAAATTTGAGGCTGAGTAGAATTGCTCATCGGATAGATCTCTGCTGTTTGTAGCTGAAACATACATTTCATCAGATATACTTTTCAGCAATTTTGAGGTTGGTAGAAACTTTTGAAGTAATGCAGCGAAAAGGAGCAGAGTGTATTAACTAACAGGATTGAGAACAAAAAATAATCCTGCCAAAAATTACTTCATTTACGCGTTGGATATTTTGTTAACATAAAGGTTTAATATAGAAACACCCACCCCACCCCTTAGCCCCCAAGCTCGCATATTTAGATTGCTTCACCGCCCAATTTGACTTACCATAATACGTTCCTGTAGGTGCCTCAAGTAAAGTAACTGCAGTTTAAGGCACGGAACTGGAAAATTATAACGAGAAATGCTTTGCTGCAAAAATGATCCTTTCTGACAAAGTTGTTGAATTGTCCCTGATATTAAGTTTTATATGGTACGGTAACAGATTTTTCAACAAACGCAGGTATGTTTTTCCACCAAATATACCTTTTTTAAGTTTCAGACTCCTTGAGAAGAAAGTTGAAACAATTTTTGACCGATCTGCAAGCATGATAAATAATAACTGTAAGTGGAAATCTGATTGAATAGATTGATACAACCGCGCTATTTTCCATTTTTTGGTTTGCAACTTGTAAGTAGTAACCTAACCCGTAATTTCGAGCAAAAAAACGACACTTCTTCATGATGATTTTGAAATTTGTAACAATTTCGTTTTCTGGTAGTTTTATCACCTTCAATGGATAAAGCTTGCAAGCGTACTGTCATAAGATTGCAGGCGTCTTGTTACAGTCCATTTTTTTTTCTTCAAAGCCAGTCACAAAACTTTTCTGATTACTATAATGCGTGAAATAAACAGCAAGCATATCTTGATATATCCGCTTTACTAAAACCCAACCTTTGTTTTCTGATATCTAACATAGAATAAACGCGAAAGTAGGAGATCAAAAACCGCACGGCTAAGTGTTTATGGCCAGACACTCTTTAATCCGTTGTCCGAGTCCGAATTCCGTCATCTACTAGTGTAAATTTGATTTCTTAAAATAAATTTTTAAGGCATAGTTTTCTGAAAAACAATTCCTTATTTTTCTTTATTTTTTAGAGCTCATTTTAGCCATTTGTTGGAGTCTTCTCTCAAGCCCATAGCTCAGTCCCGAAATACAAATAACTCAATCTCCAAAAAAAATCTTCCCAAACTTTTTTCCAAAATACAAGACAATTTAACCTTTTCAACAAATTTTCAGAAATCTTGTCGACTTTTTTAGGTCGACCAAATTGATTTTCCGAGCTCTCCCAAAGCACGAAAAGCAGTTGTTTTGGTCAAATTTTTGATTTTTCATACAGGCACAAAAAAGCGTTTTTAGGCACGTTTTGGAGAAATTTGACAAAAAAATCGAGTTTTTTTCTGCGCGCGCTTCCCTCTCAAAATTAGTATACATTAACGCCGAAGATCCGTCACCAAAAACGCCGATTTTTATTGTCTGTCACCAAAAATGAAAATTTATATCTCAAATTAGAACAAACGGGGACCCTTTTGGTCGGCTGGGAGTCAAATCCCTGAGGAGGAGGGCGTCCGCCCACGCTCCCATCCCGCCCCCCTAAATCCACGCTGCGTGAAATTATGCTAAGCCAAGAAGCCATGGAAAAAAATGGAGACGTTTGATTTTAAATCCAGAATTCTGAATTCGAATCCCGTACCTTTCCGCTGTTTATTGAAACTGAGTTTCATTCAATCGTATGTCTGTACTTGTTTTGCTCTTTTTGTTTTTGTCGTGTTTAGAGTTATTATAGCTGCTGTTTAGAATGTCTTTTCTACATGCAGTTTCATCTTTGTGATTGTACTGTTCAAATCTCGGATTTTCATAACTTGATGTGAAGACGGTTGACTGTTCCCTTTTTCGAGGAAAAGAAAATATTAATGCTTATGGTGGTTTTTTATGCAGTCAATTTTCGGCGATCGAAATAATAGTTTTTAACAAAATTTGTCATACTCTATTGAAGAAATCAAATCCCTGAAATCAAATATAAAAAGGTATTTTTGCCTCCGATTTTTTTTACAAATTCATGAGAGTTTGAAGTTTGCCAATTTGGCCATGCTCTGGAAAGCATAACACGAATTTTTTATGCGTGCCGAGTTATCACACAACCAACAAAGTTGTTCCAAATTGGGTTGAGGCTGGCCA